CCTCTTTGTCTTTGACGTCGAGAGTGACGAAGGTGAACCACGGGGGAAACGACTTTGGTCGGCGGGGACAGACGGGCCCGCCAGAAGGGGGCGCTGGTCAGCGAGGGAGGGCGGGGCGGACTCTCATGACGGGTCTGGGCCAGCTCAGTCCTGCCCTGGCCTCTCGGGGGTCACCCGAGCCTTCCAGTTAAACATCAAGGTCAGGCAGCAATTCAAGTGGGACACATCCAATTCAGTACACGGCCTTGGGTCCCGGAGACCTCCTCTCTAAACGTCCTCTGACTTCAGATGGATTAAAAAAAAATAATTGCCCTGGCTGGCATAGCTCAGCGGATTGAGCGCGGGCTGCGAACCAAAGTGTCGCAGGTTCGATTCCCAGTCAGGGCACATGCCTGGGTTGCAGGCCACGGCCCCCAGCAACCGCACATTGATGTTTCTCTCTGTCTCTCTTTCTCCCTCCCTTCCCTCTCTAAAAATAAATAAATAAAATCTTTAAAAAAAATAATTGCAAGAGCCCGGGCTGGCGCGATCGTTATTTTTGGGCATGATGCGTGAGGGGTCCCAACACAGCAAGGGGGAGGGACGGGGGAAGGTGGCTGGTCGCGGGAGCCCCGCTGGAGCACTCGGGAGGGATGCGAAGATCGTTACCTGTTCCTGGAGGCATTCCCGTTCGTCGACAAGCTTTCTCAACCTAATGTCTGAAAAGACGAGAGAGACACAGGTTCAGGGCTCCCGGCGGCCGCGCCTCCCAGCAGACGGGTGAGCGGGAGAATGAGCGCTCGGGTTAGTGGGAGTGATGATGAAGGTATTACGCACGTACCACAGCGGATGAGGCCACACACAGGATGGGGGCCAGGTCGGCCGCGGGCGGGGGCAGCGGCCCACCGCCCAGCACATGCTTGTCTCGTCAGGGGCAGGTCCGGCCGCACGCGCACGGGCCGGTCTTCGACCCGGGGTTAGCATGCAGGGGCGCTAGGGCCAAACCACACTGCAACACAAAATCTCACAGGCTTCACGGCTTCGCGTCACCAGCGGGGCCGCGCGCACACACCGAGCGTCACGCGCGGGGGGGGGGTCACTCCGCGTGGCCCGCCCTCCCTCCGAGGGCGCACCCCGGAGGCGGCTCTCGCCCGGGCTCCCCGGGGCCGGGGTTCTGACTACACGTGTGCGGGTCAGAGTTGGCCGTGCTCACCTGCTGGGCGAACACTTGTACTCGTTTGAGGAGGAAGACCGCAGTGGTAGGCTTCTGCCCCAGCTCCCCACATATGTCAGGACGCCCCACAGAAGCACCTAGCAATCTCCCCAAACCTCTCCCTGAAGCGCTATGGAGGAATGCAACCTTCAGTGCATGGGGGAGACCCCGGCCTGAAGTGGGGGAGGGGTCCGGGCCGAGTCCTCCACCAGCTTCGAGGAGAGCCAGGGTGGAGACGGCGACGCTCGCGTGTGCTGGGCCCCCGGTCTGTGCCGGGCACGGCCGTCACCCTCTCTCACCCACGGAGCCTGTGGGTGGCGCCACTATGGCATCCTCAGACCCAAGGCCCAGCACAATTAAGCGGCTTTCCGGAGGAGGCCTGGCCCACCCCCCAGGCCCCCACTGCTTTTCCAGATCTGAACTCAGACCTCAGAGCTGGGCCTGGACGCCCCCAACCCCACCCAAGGGCCCTGCTCCGGAGGAACCTGCGTCCTCGGGCCACCCAGCTTCTGGGTGGCCATGGGAAACGGAAACAATCCATATAAAATGTGGCCTTGTTTTCACTTGAAAAGTCACGTATCCACACCCTAACCCAAGTTACACGCTCGCTCAAACTGCTTCTTCCAGACGCCCCAAGTTGTTGTTTTGGAAGGCACGGTGACAAAATAAACTAGACCAGAACGCTAGGGTGACTCATGCTTTCCCTTCCCTACATGCACGCAACGCTGAAAAAGTTTTTGTAGTTAGAGACCGAGACCTTGTATTCAATATCACTTTTTATTGGGTCTTCTGTATTTCACATTCCTAGGCACAAAACCACGGGCACCACGAGAAACGCGAGGGCGTCCGAAAGAGGTCTTGAAGCTCATACAGGTTTTGGATAATTTTTTAAATTACTTTCTATTAGGAGACTTCAAATACTCTGGATAGTGAGTAAAAAAACCCAAATGTTAAAATGTAATAATAGCCCTAGGAAAACGATTTAAAAAATAAGCATAATCTATCCTTTAGTCTCATAGAGAGAAAATGAAATAGAGAGAAGTGGAAATTTTTTTTTTTGAGAAGTGGAAATTTTAAGGAAGAGAAATTTTAAAGCGGAATTAAAGAAGATTAAAACGTAATAGTTTTAAGACGATGGAAACCAGAAAGGCGCAAGATTATTTGATACGAAGAAAAGGAGTACATTTTCAGAGCTTTAAAAATTGGTATTCTAATTCGTTGGCTGGCTGGCACCTGGCCACTAATGTACTTACTGTTTATCTTTTTTTTTTTTTTGCTTTTTTAAAAAATAATTATTCTACTGTTGTTCAATTACAGTTGTCTGTATTTTCCCCCAGCCACGCCCCCCGCCCCAACTCACTGTGATTCCTAACAAGAGCATCTGGAGCCCGTCCCTGCCCTGTGCTCACCGCCCACCATTGCTCTGCAACACCTGGTTCATAACCTCGCCACCCGCCACCCGTGCAAAGGCCTTGTGACCACAGCCTCGGAGAGGAGGCGTCAGAGAACTCGGAGTGACAGTGTCTCAAGTTCAGGGTTTTCTTCAACAGTGAGACGCTAACGAGAGGAGGCCCGGCAGGTGTTTCAGCAATATTGGTCAAGGTCACATTTTAAAAAAATCTCGTCTTTACACTGAATTCGCACAGCTCTCCCGGTGCACCTTGCAGAGGCCCGTGGAAGGAAGCACGGACAGCTGAGGTTCGTGGCCGGTCCGTGGGGCCGCTGAGCTCGCGCTGGAATTCTCCGAGTCTGCTGGTTGCTCTTCCCCGTGGCCTCACCTTGCCACCTCCGCACCCAGGGCACAGCCAAGCTGACAAGCAGGGACAGCCGCGCCATCAGTGGTCACTCTTTCAGGGCTGCGCCCGGACCTGGCCCTCTCCACAGCTCTGAGGGGCAGGCTCCCACCCCGTTCTCAGGGCACGGAGCTGGCGGGCGACCACATGCCACAGGAGCGTGGCGTTCGTTCCCGTGCTGGTTTCAGGCAGCCCGGAGGGTGGGGTGGGGAGGGGCGGGCCTCCTCTGCCCCTGGCAGGGGACAGTCCCCTCCTGTCCACACTCGCCAAGGTAACAAGGGGAGGCTGAGAACTCTCCAGAAACCCACTAACGCCTGGTTTTCCCACTTCCTCCTTGCAGGACGGAGTCTGGCTGCACGGTCAGCCTCACGGTCAGTCCCCGGGCCAGCCGCCCGGGCCAGGCCGGCACCGGCCTCCTGCAGAGAAAGGCGAGCACCGACCGGCTGCTGCAGGGGGCACCTGTCTCCCCGTTCGCAGGGCCCAGGGTCTGTCTGCACTGACGGGACTGTCCCCACCGGCCCCGCGGCCTTCCTTTCAGCCGAACCACTGGAAAAATGTCGTCCCCGGTGAGAGGGACAGAGCACCAGGGCGAAGGGGCGAGAGAAAGGGTTTTTCTCTCCAAAGACAAAGTCTTCCCTGCTCGTGGTCGGCACGCAGGATAGGCACCCAGACGCGTGCCTGCACACACACGCATGCCCGCACGCCCACACGGCCCCTCCTCTGCTCCGGAGCCTGGGTGTGCGGCAGGACTCTCGCCGAGACGGCCATGATGTCTGCTCCCTTGTTCCGATGGCCTGGGCGGCGAGGGGGGTCGGGGGCTCTCCGAGGGCGGGAGCCCACCGACAGAGCACAGGGCCCCGACGGGTCTACGCCTGCAGAAGGAGCGTTCTGGGGCGTACAGTGACTGCTCCTCTCCCCCGCTCCGCGTCACGGTGACACTCGGTGACCCGGATTCCCCGGGGGACGTGGTGGAGGGGTGACCTTTGGATTCCCGTCTGATTCTGACTCTTGACACTGAAACCTTCCCGCACGCCTGGTCCACCCCCCACCTCGTGCCTCCCTCCCCCCCACGGGCCCCGGTCGTCCCGCGAGGAGTGTTGAAGGGGCTCCACCAGGGACATCGGCCACTTGCTGGGCCAGGACGCCCTGCCACACCGGACCAGAGGGACCGAGAGGACCGGGAGGCGGCTGGGCTGCGCAGAACCCTCTCTCTCCACGGTGCTCACGCCCGATTCTCAGCTTTCCCGCCCCCGCCAGACTCTGGGTCCCACCCGCCCCCTCACGGGCAGAGAGGGCCTCCCATACAGGAAGCGATCACGTGTTTATCCGTGGAACGAATGAGTGACCCGGTGAGACTCGAGGGGCGCGAGGTGTGTCATGCTGTCCTCGCGTGTGCTGGCAAACAGCACGGAAAGACCGGAACCACCGTACGGTGGTTCAAGGACCTCAGCCTCCAGTGAGTCTGGGCCCAGGGCTGAACCGTTTCCCAGTGTGCACTGCAGCGTGCCCGCAGCTTTGCCAAGGTCAGCGGCATAGCCGAAGCCCTGAAACGCCTCTCCACCCTTGGACTTGACTCCCTACCAACCTCCCTCCTGTGTGCCCTCTATTCCCGTGGCCCAGGTGGGCAGGGGCTGGTGGCCCCGTGGCCCTCTCCTCAGGACGCTCTCAGAGGGAGGCCACGTGCACCCGTCACGTCACCGTGCTCTCGAGCGCATGCCCTGCCCCGGCAGGCGGCACGGACACCGTTGTCCATGGGGGCTGGTCCTCGGGCCCCCTCCCAGCCCCACCCCGATGGCCCAGCAGCCCCAGCCCCAGCCCCAGCCCCAGCCCCAGCCCCACCCAGAGGGTCTGGGTGCCGGGAGAGAACTTCAGTCCTCGCTGACGCTGGGCACGTCAGGTGCGGCCCCTCCCAGAGCCCCGCCGGGGACTCGGCCCCCTGGAGGGGGGCACGGATGGGTGAGGTGCCGCAGCCGCCACGCCGGAGTCCGCGCCGCCCAAAGAGTGGAACCACAGGCTCGCAGCACTCGGAAACGTCTTTATTGCCACCGCGCGGCCCCACGGGCACCTCGGGCGCCGCCCAGGTGCTGGTCCCTCCTGCGCTCGGGCGTGCCTCCGCCCAGCGCCGTGAGCCACAGACTCTCCCACGTGCCAACAGCATTCGTCACGCTCGTTCCCGCGGGCTTTGACCGTGTTACAATTATTTTAAAATTTAACTTTACAATTATTTTTTTAAAAAAGGCTTCTTTAGGTAGACAATGCATATTTTGTTCAGGAAGATCAAAACGAGAATTTTCCAATACAATGGACAAACAACAAATGCAAATATTTGTACCGGAACACCAACAGCACCTGACCGGTGTTAAGACCCCCGCTGTGGTTTAACTGGCGGCTCACTCTGCCTAACAACAAGCCCCTCCCTCTTCCATTGCTCTTTGGAATAATGATCAGACATAGAAGTAATTTTAAGCTTAAAAAAATAAATTTTAGAAGTGATCCTCCCCACCCTATAACACTCTAGGAAACGGAATTGCAACATTCCTCTCTTCCAGAAAAAAAGTGTTCAAAGAGTCTTTGTGTGAAATGACTTTGGTAGGTGGCTGGCGCGGCGGGAAGTCACGTGGCACGGACTCAGGCCTGTGGAGCTGGGACGCGGTCTTTATGGGCGGGGACCCCCCCCCCCCGGGGCTTCCAGCTGCGCGTTACCCCTGAGACGAAGGCTCACCCGCGACCCACAGGCTGTTTGGCCGCTGGTCTCCCTTTCAGAGGAAATGCCACGCAGGGGATAACGCACACACCAAAAGCAAACAGGAAGGTACGTGTACTTGAGCGGGACGAAGGAGTTTACACATCGCTTCCACCCCGATGTGGGGATCTTGGGATGCTGTTTGGTCGTTTCAGTCCGAGGCCGATACATCCGGTCGCGGACACGCACGGCCCGGCCAGCGGAGGCGGACGGGGCCTGGCGTACCGACTGTGAGTGCGGGCTGCAGACAGGGTGTGCTACTGTCCGACGCGCCGGTTAGAGCGCACGCCGGCGACACACGTGTTTCTCCTTCTGGCCTGGGGGCTGGCCTTGACAACATACGAATCTGCCGGTAACAGTCTGCAACTTAAAGTCCCAGCTGGCGTGGCGCTCGATTGTGCTGGTGCGTCTGGACCGCGTCAAGGGCCGCTGGGGTGGGGGGGGGGTGGGGGCTGTGGTGGGCGGCCCTGCCCCCCGCCGGACGAGCCAGCCTCGCCTACGACAGGGCGCAGTCTTCTTTGCTTCTGTCCTTCTCGCTCTGGCCCCCCGCCTCCTCCCTGCTGTCTGGGCAGGAGTCCCCCGACTCCCCTGCGGGCGCCAGGCCGTCCCTTTCTGGCCCGAGGCTCTCGGAAACCTCCCTGGCTCCCTGACTCTCACCGTCGACGACCTCGGAGGGACGCTGGCCTCCGGGCGGGGCGCTGCCGGGGACGTCCTCGTCCCCTGGGGGCCGGCACGGAGTGGCGCCGCTGTCTACGTGGGCACCGTCGGGTCCTCCTCCTCCTCCTCCTCCTCCTCCCTCTGACCCTCCTGCACCCGCTCCCTGAAGGGCGTCGCCTTCCGGCGGCCCCGGTTCTCCGTCGGCGATCGCTTCCCCCGCCTCCGTGGCCACGTCGCCGCCGTCTCCCGGGTTCCGTTCTCCATCCACCTCCAGGTCAGCGCTTTCCGGAACGTCCGGGTTCTCGCTGCTCCCCGCCACCGAGTTCCGTCTGGGGCTGCCAGGGGCCTCGGGCGCTGTCCCTGCACCTGGCCTCTCGTCAGTGGGTCCCGCCAGCTCTTCCTCCCTGACCTCGCTCAGGTCCGGGCTCTGGGACGGCAGCTCTTTCTCGGCGTCCTTGCTGGTCTCTGCCGCTGCCGGCGACTTCTTCTTCTTGTTCTTCTTCTTCTTGTTCCTTGTCTTCTTCTGCGGCGAATCCAGCCCCGCGCCCTGCAGGTTCTTGCTGTCCTCGCCGGGTTCTTCCGCGTCTAGGGGTTTGCTCTTGGCATCGGCTGGACACGGGTCTGCTGCTCCCTGCGCACGGTGCGTGGCCACCGCAGACGAGGGGCTGGTCTGGGCTGCGGTGTGGGTGGGCTTCTCACTCCTAACTCCCGCCCCCTCCGCCTCGTCCTCATCCCCGCACCCCCCCAGTCCCGTGCTCTGCACCGGGGCCTCCGGGGGCTCTGCTGCTTCCTGGCCGGTGAGCTCTGTCTCTAAACCACACCCTGCGCTGGCGTCCACCTCTCTGGGGACATCGGCCACACATCTGTCATCCTGACTCACGCTGTCAACGCTGCCCCTCGGAGGCCTGGAAGCCGCTGTGCCCTCCGGCCCCCCTGACCCGGTCGGCCCTGCCCGCACCGAGCCCCGGGTGCTGCAGCTCACCGCGGCGGCCTCGGAGATTTGCGAGGGAGCGGGTTCCTGGCGTGGTTCCGGGCTCCCCTCTCCCAACCCGGCGCCGCAACCTTGCTTTTCTTGCTCCTGCGTTTCTTTGGTTTCTCCACTTTGGTTTAGGGGACCCGAGGCATCTGCCTCGGGGTGCAGCGCGTCATCATCTCGTTCCCTCCAACACCCCGAAGCCCCCGCCCCCACCCCGGCATCCGGGGTGCTCGTGACCGCACTGGGCCCACCCTGCTCTGTGTGTTCAAGGAGGGACCCGTTTGCTAGCAGCACTTGGCTTTGGACCTGGTCCTCCTCTGCAGCACCTGCTGCTGTCGCTAGGGAGAGGGCACCGCTGCCGGGGGGCGCCTGGCCCTCCGCACCGCCGCCAGGAGGTAAGACCTCTGTGTCCACACCGTCCTCCACGGGGTCCTCCTGGCGCTCGGCACTCTGCAAGGTCTCTCTTTCCCCCACAGCGTCCACAATCTCCCTTTGCACCTCCGCTTCAGGGGCTTTTCCTAAAAGGCCATCGAGAAAATGCAAGGGACCCCGTGATGTGGTGACCACTCAACACACACACACACTGCGACGTCAACCCGAGTTCCCATCCCCACCCGGCCCCGCTCCCAGAGAGAGAGAGAGAGGGAGAGACAGCGCGTCAGCAGAGGGTCCCCAGGACGAAGCCTCCGCCGGCTCCGTGCCACCAAGCAGCCACCGCACCCGCAAAGAGCCGTCAGCCACCGCCACCACCACCTCGCGGCGAGCAGCTGCCGGCGCCGCCTCGTGCACAGTTAAGCGGCTGCCAGCAGCAGGCGCGCCGGGCCCGGCAGCCGGACCCTCCAGAGTGAGGGGTCCCAGAGGGACGCGGGCTCGCGGTCCCCGTTCTCACTCCCAAAGGCCGTGGGGACAGCTCGCACGCTGCCGGCGGCTGTCAGGCTGCCCGTCACACAGCCCTGAGGGCAGCTTCCGAGTCGCGTGGAGAGACCCAGCCTCCCGGGCCACCTCGAGGAACATGCTGCTACAACCTGGGTCAGGACCTCGGAAGAGGCCCACCCCCGCCACCTGGTCACGGTCCCCTGAGGAGGTGGCCTGCGCCCTAAACACCTTCGCTCCGTCCCCGTCCGCACGGAACAGGGTGTCCCAGCGGGAGGCAGGGGAGGCGCTGGAATCTGGATGACCACTCACCTAAATGCTGAGTGACTGACTCACCAAGGGACAAACCACGAGTGACCAAACCTGTCACTGCTCTGGAATGAAGCTGTGGTTTGGATGCTTCCGCCCAACTAAACCGCAGCGTGGGAGGTGCCCCCCTGCAGGGCAAAGGCTGGTGACGCCAGGACCTGGGGGTCGACCCAGGGGTCTCCCCGGGGGTGCACTTACCGCGGGGAAAGCAAGGGAAGTTAGTTTTGCTTCGCCCTTTACAAATGTCTGTAAGTGCACGTTATATAATGCACGTTTTATATTATTACAATATTATATACATAAATTAAAAAGATAAATATACAGCCCTGGCTGGTGTGGCTCACTGGACTGAGCGCCGGCCTGGGAACCAAAGGGTCGCCGGTTCGATTCCCAGTCAGGGCACACGCCTGGGTTGTGGGCCAGGTCCCCATTGTACGGGGCACATGTGAGAGGCAGTCACACATTGATGTTCTTCTCCCTCTCTTTCTCCCTCCCTTCCCCTCTGTCTAAAAATAAATAAATACGATCTTTAAAAAAAAATTAAAAAATAAATGTAAATATTGGGAAGACCCCCATACGGAGACCGCCTACAAAACTGACCTTCTGGTTCTTCAAGTGTCTGTGTGACAGCGACTACGTGTGTTTACAGCGGAGAGGCGGGCGGAGCCAACGCCGGCTGCCCGACAGCTGACACACGGGGGCGAGGGCGGGGAGCCGGCTCGCCCTTGCTCCGCAGCGCTCACGCCGTGGGCAGAGCCGTGCCCCTCTGCGGGGAGGGGGGCTGGGAAGCCAGCCCTGGGGTCTCTGCGTTTCCACGAAGAACGAGAAGGGACATGGGCAGCCTCGCCTCGCCGGGACAGGACCCACGGCCTGGCCTGACTCCAGCCTCCCGGTCAAGCCGGGGCACACGGGCGGCCAGTGGCCGGGGAGGCCTCAGGCGTGGTGGCCGCTCCAGGCTGCCCAGCGAGAGGGTTCTGGAGGCTCCTCCCCAGGCCAAGCGCGACGACAAACAGCGGCTGGCCGGTCCTTCTGGCCTTCCCGCCCCCTACTGGGACGCCCTAGTGCGTGCTCTTCCGGAAGCAAAGATGTGACTCGCTCCCTCCGCACCGCCCGCACCCACACCGGGGGCTGCCCTTCGCTGGCAGCCCAGGGCCGCCTGCCCCGTCTGGTGCTCCCCGGAGGAGGGCAGCCGTGGCGTCCTGTGTCCCGGCCTCCGCCCACTGTCCACAAGCACCTCGTGCCCGCGGAGCGCCGACAGGGGGCGCTGCGTCGGCTTGCACCGGCGGCCGGGCGGCCGGCTAACTGAGCTCACAGCCCCCCTCCGCTGCCCGGACCCCCGGCAGCTCTGTGAGGGCGTGGAAAAGCCACGCCCGGCACCTGTCTGGGGGGGACCAGACAGCACTGCCCAAACTGCCCCCTGACCTGGAGGCCGCACCTACAGTCTCACTCGGCACCCGCAGGGTCGGCGGGGAGCCCTGGCGGGAGGCAGGCTGACAGCACGCGTGGGCGGGCACACCGTGGGGCGGGCGGGGCGGGGCGCGGCCGTGACGAGACAGAGCGCGGGGCATGCGGTGCGGCTGTTAATGGCCGGTGAGGATGAGTTCGACTGTGACAGTGCGCGGGGGGTGACTGGATGCTGGCTGGACGGTGACAGGAGCCGGAGGAAGGCGAGGACTTACCGAGGGGCCCGTCCCCGGGCGCCTGGAGGGCGTTGGGCTCTCCCTTCGTCGTCGTCCGGGCGGGGCCGCGGGGTCCGGCGCCCGCCAGAGCATCTGAAGTCTCCCCATTGGTAGCCACTTCCGAACTCAGGACGATCCCGTGTTTCTGGGGACAAGAACAGGCTCGTGGCAACACTCGCCGAGTGACATCGGGGTGAACTCTCTTTTATTAATAATAACCTCAAGGGCAGCTATTTTCCCTGGAGCGGAGGAGAATCCGGCGGCGTCAGGAGGAGCGAGGCGCCGCCCCCCTGTGCAGGTTCTACCGGCACCCACGCGTCCGAGGCGCGTCCTGCAAGAACGCGGATGCCTCCTAGGGCCCCCACCCCGTCCTCATGTGCCGGCCACCGGGCGCTGTCGGCGGGACCCTCGGGGCTGGGGCTGAGGCCGCAGGTGCCACGGTGGGAGGCCTGAGCACGTCCCGGGGAGGCGACCCTGCCTGTGCAAGCCGGGGCCGCGATCTTTGCAAAGAGACACGAGGAAAAGGAAGGACTGTGTGGGTGTTCTGGCAGGAGCAGGGGAGAAGGGGTCGGGGTGTCTGGGACGCTCTCCCTCACGGCCGCACCTCGTGGCTCCAGGGTCCCCTCGACCATGGACGGCTCCCCCTCGGCCCTCCACCGCCCCCGCTCCCCCTCCTGTGCCGGGAGGGAGCCCCGATCCTGCACTCGCAGCCCTGGGGGAGAGTCTGCGGACCTCAGCCCTGAGCCTTTTCCCTCACCGCTCTGGCCTTGACCCCTGGAAATGAGCAGCCACACGGACATGTCTGCTGACCACACAGGACATATCTGCCCGTGGCCACGCCCTGCCTCCTCCAGGGTGCACAGCCCACCCAGAGCTCTGACCCCCTCGGCTGGGTGCTGGGTTCCTTTACTCGGTGCCCAGATAGTGGCCGAAGCCCCCCAGACCTGGCCCAGACGGAACGTGACTTTCCGACAACCCCGTGGGTCTCCCAGTGCGACTGGCAGGCGCCGCCCCCACCCCGTCTGGCGGGAGAAGCGCTCGCCGCCCGGCCCGCCACGGACCAGACGCGCTCTCCGACTCGGAGTCGGGTGCCGCCGGGCGGTTCGCGGACGAGGACGGAAACCTTGGGACGACGCACTTACAAACTCTCGGAAACCAGAGCTGCTTTCGAGCTCCGAGAGGCCTGTGAACGCCCGAAGGTCACGGGCAGACGCCACGGGACCCGGGCTCACGTTGCACGTCTCCTCGGTGTCCCCTCACCCTGGATGCCCCCTTGTCAGCAGAACCACAGCCGGGACGGCGCCCCTCGCGGCGGCCCGCGGGCCCCGGAGCCGGGGACGGCGCCCTCGCGGCCGGGACGGCGCCCCCTCGCGGCGGTCCGCGCGCCCCGAGCCGGAACGGCGCCCCCTCGCGGCGGTCCGCGGGCCCTACCTTCAGCTCCTCCTTCAGCACGCCCACTTCTTCTCTGAGGTCGTCTCGCTCGCTCCTGACAGAGTCAAAGAACTCCTTCTGCCTCTCTAAGGCCTGAGCGCGCGGCGGGGCAGGGCAGAGCAGAGCAGAGAGAGGAGAGGAGAGGAGGCGCACGGGTCAGCAGGTGGCTGCGGGAGCGGGCCGCGGAGGCCGCTGCTCCAGGCAGGAGGCCGCCAGTCGGGCGTCGGACAGCGCATGCTCAAAGGTACAGACGAGACGCAAGGGACACAGACCCTCGCTCAGCCCAGAAACGCGGCTGCCCGTGCGCCCCGAAAGACATGAGCCCCCGAAGCCACCGGGAGGGTGTCACCCGCGTCTCGTGCTAGCTGAGTCCGGGCCTCGCAGCAGCCGTGTCAGCCATCGACGGGGGCTGCGCGCCCCGCCCCCGCTTGAATGCGGGGTGAATACGGAGTAGGCGGCGCTGCGGAGGAACCCCCGGAGACGCCTGTTGCAGCGATCCCGGCTGCTCTCCTGCGTGGCTTCCGGAGACGGCCCGCACAGGCGAGCAGGAAGGGGCCCCAAAGCAAACACACATGCATGTGCAAACACACATGCACGTGCAAACACGCATGCGCATGCACGGCCCCGCGTGAGCGGGTGGGCACACGAGAGAGAGGACAAGGGCAGCGGCGTGCAGTCAGCGCCCCGAGGACGCGCTCGGGCGTCTCCGCTCTGTGGCGTGCTGAGTCGCCCCGTTTCGGAAGCCAGCGTCAGGAAGCAGAGCTGAGACTCTGAGGGGTCCCTTTCTTCCTCCTCCTCCTCATCCCTACCGGCCGGGGGGCGGGAGGGAGCGGGTCTGAGGACCCTCTGGGGGGATTTCAAGCTGGGGTGGCGTGGGGCACAGCCCTTGCCGCCTCGCAGCTTCCTGGAGCCCCTTGGGAAAAGGCCCAGGCAGGATGGGCAGGGAACCCCACACAGCAGAGCTGCCCGAGGGCCCCCCTCGTTGCCGGGGGTGGGGGGCGGTTCTCTGTGAGCCCCAGGCAGCTCACAGGGCATCGGAGAGCCCGGCCCACGCTGACCTAATGAGGCTCTCCGTGCTGGACACCAGCTTCCTGTCCAGAGCCACCGCCACTCTGGGAAGGCTGGCGTGCACCCCCTGCACCATCGAGTCTGCGTCGGGTGGGGGCCGCGTGCACACTCATCCAAGCAGACCAGAGCCTCTGCAGACTCTCTGCAGCCCGAGCAGACTCTCCGAGACTCAAGCGTCCTACCCCTATCTTTTTGTCCTTCCACTCTATCGTTTCCTGGAGGTCAGAGATCTCCCTGACATAGCCCGCCTGTTTCTGCTGCAGCTGCCGGATTTCCTGAGGGGCAGGGGCAGGTGGAAAGAGAGCGGACGGAGGGTTAGGCAGGAGGAAGCGCCTGTGTGGACCACGCGGGCCAGCAGGCCCCAGGGGACCTGGGAGCACAGTCTCTCCCGCTCCAGAGCCCACCCTTGAAGGCGGCCCTTTCTCCGGGCCCTGCCCCCCACCCCAGAGGGCCGGGAGGAAGCCCCACTGGGTGAAATTCTCACGGAGAGGCACTCAAGCTCGGATCCAGTTAAAAAGGTTGAACACCCCGGGGACCCTGGTCGGGTGGCTCAGGTGGTCGGAGCAGCGTCCCGTCCACCAAAAGGTTGCGGGTTCGGTCTCGGGTCCCCAGTCCCCGGGCGGGGCATGTATGGGAGGCGGCTGATGGACGTCTCTCTCCCCCTCCCTCCCTCCCCCTAAAATCCATAAGCATGTCCTTGGGTGAGGAGTGAAACAGTTAAAAGGGTGAAACAACCCCGTACGTTTCCTGTTGCCACTGAAACAAATCAGCACGAGTTCCGTGGCCCCGAACTCCGCCGACGTGTACTCCCGGCACCGGGGCTCCGGAGTCCCCAGCGGGCCTTGTGGGCGGAGGTCAAGGTGCGGGCAGGCCTCGGGGCTTCCCTGGGGGCCCCGCAGAGCATGTTCTGGTAGCTTCTAGAGGCGCCCAGCTCCCTGGCTCACGGTCCCTTCCCCCATCGCTCTGCGCTCTGACATCTGCTCCCGCTGTCACCTCCCTCCTCCTGCCTGGGACTCTCCGCCTCCACCCCCCCACCCCCGTAAGGACCCTGTGGCACACGGGGCCCGCCCAGGAAACCTGGGGCGATCTCCCGTCACGAGGTCCCCTTTGCCACGGAAGGTCACGGGGACGATTAGCCTAGGCCCCCAGTTTTCCAGGAAACCCGTGACTTCAGTGACGAACCAGCCAAAGGCCCCCAAGTCACGCACACACACGCACACACACACACACGCACCCCCCCCCCTCCCCGGGGCGCGGGCCCGGCTACCCACCTGGAGCATCTCCTCCCGCTGCTGCAGGGCGGCCTTCATCTCCGCCAGCTGGAAGCGCAGCAGCCCGTGGGCATGCTTCTCCCGCTCGAACTCCTGCGCGGGGCGGGGGGGTGGGGGGGCAGAGCAGAGGGCTCAGACACATCATCCGGGGTCACCCCACCCCGTTCCCACAACTCCCCGCCTCTGCCTCGGAACGCATTCCCCGCGGCCACGCCAGCACGGCGTCCCGGGCCCTTAGGACGCCATGAACCTGGTTCTCTGGACGTTCCAGGAGACGCCCTGCGGTGTCCTCTACCGGGGGAGGGGGGGGGGAGCCCGGGGCAGCTCCCGGCTCCTCTCGGGTGGGTGCGAGGCCCCGGGAAGGGCCCCCCTCAGGGTGTCTGCTGGCTGTGCTGACGGCCCGAGCGACGGGGCAGCTTGGAGAAGGGCTTGGGCCAGAACCATCCCCAGTTCTGGAACACGACAAGGAGCGCTCCTCGGGACACAAGGGGCCAACGCGTCTACTTTGGCAAGCCTGTCTCACCGACAGTGGCCGGGCCAGCGCTGCGCTCCAGGGACAAAACCGAAAAGGCGGGGGCAGCGTCGGGCCCCCTCCTCCACGAGACTTGCCCCAGAGACCTGGCGATGCGGCTCTCTGGCCCCCCCCCAGCCCCGCCCAGCAGCGCCGCCCCCAGGGACGGTCCGGTGGTGCCCAGCAGCTAACTGCCGGCAGCTCAGGGGCCGCCGGCCCCAGGCCTGCCAGCTGGGCTGTGTCAGAGGGGCCGGACTCCCGCTTCCGCTCGCCCGCTTCTGAAGTCTGGGGCGACTGGCCCCCCCCAGCTGTGACAAGGGTGTGCCCGTCGGGCTTTGCTTGGCCCTCGGTCTCCTCTTGGGGACAACCTTCCAGGATGACCCAACTTCTGTGGAATTAGGTCGGAGGGTCCCTGGCCCTCCTGACGGCCAAATGAGGCCACTTGAGGAGTATTAAGGACCCCTCACGGCCCCCTCCCCCTGAGGCGGGGTCAGAACAGCGACCTCCAGCCTCGAGAGGCTTCTCCTTCCTCTCCTCCAGAGTCCGGCTGTCAGGGGCCTCCCGCCAGCGTCCGACTCACTTCCCCAGCCACCAAGGGTGGGGGGCGGGGCCTGGAGTTTGTTCAGCCCTTGGGATTCACAGCGTAGAGCCAGGTATTTTGTTGTTGTTGTTGTTTTCTTTTCTTTTTTTAAAAAAGATTTTTTTATTTATTTATTTTAGAGAGGGAAGGGAGGGGGAGAGAGAAAGAGGGAGAGAGAAACATCAGTGTATGGTTGCGGGGGGCCGTGGCCTGCAACCCAGGCATGTGCCCTGACTGGGAATCGAACCTGCGACACTTTGGTTCCCAGACCATGTTCAATCCAATGAGCTACGCCAGCCAGGGCTGTTGTTGTTTTCAAGATAATGACATGCATTAACTAAATGTTCTGTTTATCTCAGCAAATTTGGAAAAGCCAACAATATTCTAGGGTTCGATTAACCAAGCAATTCCCCCAAACGTGAGAGTCCAGGACCCCTGGTCCTGTGGCTCGTGGAGACGGCGGGTCGCCAGGCCAGTCGGCTGCCGTGAACCTGAGCGCCTGCCCGTGCCGCGCACCGAGGCCGTGAATCGCACTAATTCCAGGGCTTCGTCACGGGGGCCGGAGTGAGACGCACCCCTTCTCTGGGCTTCTAAGGGGAATATTTAGTTCTTCAACGCAGTAAGTGGGCGTTTCCCCATCAGCAGAAAATAAAGCAATGTAATTTCCTTGACATCTTTGATACTTGCAGCTGGCTGTTTGTCTGCGGTGTTAAGGGATAAGAAAATAAAAACCAGCAAGTGTGTCCGCACGGGGAAGACCCCGAAGCGCCCAGTCGCGCCGTATCTGAGCACACCGCTTCTTCCGTAGGCCGGTTTTCCCACGGTGCTGACCTCACCTCACACGCAACACACGCATGTTCTCCCAGGGGCATCGCCTCTAGCTCACTACGGAAATGTGCACATCGGTACGGGAAGTCCCCCCGCGCAGAGCATAGCATGCTCCTCGGAGGTCTGGGCTTCCCAGACAAGTGGAGAATCGTTGTTAAATGCACACACACTGAAAACTAAAATAAGAAAAATTATTTTTTAAAAAGCTGAAGCCCTGGCTGGTGTAGCTCAGTGGATTGAACATGGGCTGGGAACCAAAGTGTCACAGGTTCGGTTTCCAGTCAGGGCACATGCCTGGGTTGCAGGCCACAGCCCCCAGCAACCACACATTGATGTTTCTCTCTTTCTCCCTCCCTTCCCTCTCTATAAATAAATAAATAAATAAATAAATAAATAATTTTAAAATAGAAAAAATTAAAAAGCGGATAACTTCACGCAACCCGGAACACACACACACACACACACACACACACACACACACACACACACAATCTTTTTGCATTTGCAGAGTCTTCCCACCCCTCCCCACCACAGCAGCGCGGCTCACCTTGTTTTTCTCCTCGTACTGCCGCCGCGACTCGGCCAGCTGCTCCTCGAGCTCCAGCAGCGTGTCCTTCAGCGTGTCCACCTGGTACATGTAGTTCGTCTTCTCGTTGTCCAGCTGCGCGTTGGAGACCATGGCCTTCTTGTACTTCTCCTCCACCTCCGCCAGCGAGTCCTGCGGGAACCGGGCCGCGGTTGGGAAATCATGGTGAGAAAACACAAAGAAAGATCAGTTTGGCATTCTTTTTTTTTAATTTGATTTGAGAGAGAGAGAGGGACTGAACCAGGACTGAACCAGGACCTTGGTATGTTGGGATGACGCTCTAGCCAGCTGAGCTACCGGGCCCGGGCCAGTTCAACATTCTTTTTTTGGTAAAGGTTTTATTTATTTATTTATTTTTAGAGAGAGGGGAAGGGAGGGAGAAAGAGGAAGAGAAACATCGATCTGTTGCCTCTCTCACGCCCCCATCTGGGGACCTGGCTTATAGCCCAGGCATGTGCCCTGACTGGAAATCGAACTGGCGACTTTTCAGTTCACAGGCTGGTGCTCCATCCACTGAGCCACACCAGCCAGAGCTAGTTCAGTCTTCTTAAAAACGAAAAAACTCAGCCCTCAATTTAGACTTTATTTCTCCGTGCAAATGAATCAAAATAGAAAACACAGCAATTGCAAAAGCGAAGAAATTCCTCCTTTTCCATTTGACCGAATTCTCCTCACTCAAAAAAACTGGTTCCTCACTGTGCCGAGGGACAAGAATAACCAACAGCCACCAGGACAAGGGACACGCCTGGTGGGAAGGGTTCTGGTCACGAGCAGTCCGGCCCTGACCCCATGACTCGGGGGCCGGGTGTCGTGGGTCGGCCTGCACAACAGGTTTCTGAAGGGGCCCCTCCCAGCATGTGACCAGCACAGGGCACGGAGCCAGCCGGACGGCGGGGAGGACCCGGCCCCGCAGCGAGCTGCCAGGCCTGGGCGCAGGAACCAGGAAAGGAGTAGGCGGAGCTGCACGTGCTCAACCCCCAGGAGAACTACGCAAGGGGCACAGGCCTGGGGGGGGGGTCTGGGGAGACGACAGCCATCCCTTCGAAGGGACAGCGCAGGGACGGGGGCCTGCAAGGTCCACGTGGCCCTGCCTGGCCCACGCCCCTGCGGGTCAGGCCACAGGGAGAGCGCAGCGGCGTTCAGGTCCCAGAAACAGAGACTGGGGAAGCAGCTCTGGAAGAGAGCAGAGAGCCCCGGGGTGCAAACCGCCCACAGCTGAAGAAGGGCGGGCGCCGCCGGCCGGGTGTTGCAGGCACCACGGGCAGCCTTCCCAGGGTCCCGCCTGCACTTGGGAGCCAGGCACCGACTCGGGGGGGGGTGGGGTGGGTGTGGGGGGGCGGTGTGACTGCCGCCTGCCCCGCTGGCTCCCGTCTCCTGTGGGTTACAGGCCGGTGCGCTCATTTCCGCCCTTTTGAAAAAGAGCTGACAGTGATGACAGTGGCGACCCATGGGATCTGTCCCCCGCTCCGGTGCCCCTGGGACAGGACCTCAGACTATCTGGGGGGCGCTTTCTGGGGAGCGAGGGGCGGTGGCAGGCTACGGCTGTGGTCGGCCGCCGCTGCCGCGGGAGGACGGGAGGGAGTGCGGCCCGACCGCCGGCCTCGCCGCCGAGGCGTGGGGGCTGAGCAGTCCCGGCCGGCACAGCAACGCGGTTCCCGCCTCCCGAGAGTGGGGCGTCTTCACCCAGACAAGCCCGACCCCGCGCACACTCAGGCGCCGCTGCGGTTAGTCCGTGTTAGAGCATGCGCCCGACGCGGTGCCCCAAAGCACGGCCACGCGGGCTGTGTCAGTGCAGACAGCCGGCGTTCGGGGACACACAGGGCGTGCGGCTGCTGCGGGCAGCCAAGGGAGCCGAACGCCCTTCTGGAGGGCTGGGGAGCTCCCGGCTCTGGCCGGGGCTGGGGCGGGGGAGGCTGCGTGAGGACGCGACGTGCATCAGGAGTCACGCTAGTGGCTTCCTCTCGGTTCGAAGGCTGCGCAGGGGCACCCCTCGCTAGCCCCCCCACCACGTGGGGCCTGGGGCGTCTGCGGGGTTAGCATGCAGGCCGAGCGCCCGCCCCCTCTGGGGGGCGTTTGCGGTCAGCGGGGTTAGCGCGTGCGCCCACACTCAGCACACGGCACCTTCAGCTCCTTCAGCCCCTGCATGTATCTGCCCTCCACGTCCTGAATCTGGTCCTGGAGCTCGTGCAGTTCCTGGGGGGGACGGTAAGACGGGCGCGTGACGCCGGGGAGGGACAGGCCCCGGGGGACAGGGGCGGGGCTCCGGGCGGTCCCGCCCCCAGCCCGCCCTCAACAGTCTGAGCTTCCCCTCGGCTTTTGTGAAGTGTCAGGAAAAAAAAAGAAGTTTCCAGGTTACCAAGGTTAAAAGTTGGGTGTATCTCGTGATAATTTCACACGATTTCTGTAAGACTGAGGTCTCTCTCCTATGATATTTTGGCAGTTTTACAAAAGAGGCAAAAGAGCGTCCGGAAAAGGAACAAGAAACGTCACTCCTGGTTGGAGGTTCTCTCGCTCCTGGAGTCCCTGCGCGGTGCCGGCAAGGCGCCACGGGGGAGAGAGATGTGGCGGGGCTGGGCCTGGCCTCACGGCCCGGCCTCGCTCTGCCAGTCCCGCCACCACCGCATCCCTGGTGCCCGGCGTCCGCGGGAGCCAGGCGCCGCCCCGTGAGGCTCGCGTTGAACAAGCGGTGGGGAATCCGGGCTGCGGTGGCCGCGGCCGCGCTGGAGGGAAGGCATGAGCAGAGCTGCGGGGACGGCTCGTGGGGCCGGTTAGGGACAACGGCCAGAACACGCTCCCACAGAGCGCAGGCGTCGGAGGCCACCCCCGGGGAAACCCTTCTTGGGCCTCCCCGGGCAACTGGCCCCTGGCGGAGGCTGGTCCTCCCTCACGGGTTTGACTCTAGAAAGTGCTTCTGCGAATGAAGCAGCTCTGACCCTGAGGTGCCCGCTCTGCTCCCGGGGGGTGGGGGGCACACGCCCTGGAGCCCGGACCGCCCTCCCCTTCACACGGCTGCCTGCTCGGACGCAGCCGCTTTAACAAGCGGCGCTGCGTTCCACTCTCGGGCCGGGAGCGTCGAGGACGTCACAGCACAGGACCGCAGTCCAGAGGGAGAAGAGGAAGCCCCTCACACCTGCGGCGGGGGTCCACGGGAGGTGGGCGATGGAGAGAAGGCACGGACGGAGGGGTGCAGAGGGCGGGCGGGCAGAGTGGCCCGGCGCCTTCACGCGGTTTGGCGAGTGTGGACGCAGGTGGGGGCGCAGGGGCCGGGCACAGGGGGGCCCTGCTGGGGCGGGCAATCGGGGACGGCTTCCTGGGGGAGGCGGTATCTGGGCCGAGCCTCGGTGTCACTAGAACACCTGTGCGTGGACGTGGGGGAGACGGAAGTGAGAGGAAAGACCTGGGACAGTGGGGACATCGGGGACGAGACCTCCTCCCCTGGGAGACAGGCTGTCACAAAGGTCCCACGTGGGCAGGTGCGTTACCTTGATTTCCCGCATGGACGCCTCGGTGTCCGCGGAGACGGAGGTGTCCCCGCTGCCCCTCCGAGCGGAGGTGCCGCCCAGCGAGGCCAGGGTGGCTGCGGACAGGCTGGGCAGGGTGCGGGACCCCTAGGGCGAGACAAGGACCAAACGCCGTTTCAGACAAGACCCACGTGACCCTCATATCTGCTGTCACGCCACCTCTGCCTGAACCCGGCTTCCCACCTGGATGGAACGTCTCCCGTGGGCTTGCGGAGAGCAATACCGAGGGGGTCGCACTGGGGGGCCATGCAGGCTGGGGGGGCCTGTCTGGGTTCACTTCAAGGTCCACGGTTGGGCCAGGACCAACCCTCTCCTTGTTCTGGGGGCTTAACACACACACAGTGGAAGTGACCCCCGGGGCCCTCCCCAGGGTCGTGGCACTGGCTGGTGGGCCGCATGCTGGCCCTGCCCGCTCGCCGGTGAAGATCTTTACCAAAGATCAAGCAACGTAATCTCTTTTCAGTGTCACCCCTACATGCCGGGACCCACCCAGGCCACCAAGGACGTGACCGGAAGGCTGGCAGAAACTCCTCACCTTCTCGGCGAAGTCTTTGTCTGGTCTCTCTTCAACCTGCGGAGGGAAGGGCACAGACGTCACACCTGAGCACTGAGTGGACCTCCGGGACGCAGGGGGAGGGCGGCAACGAAAGAACACCAGAGCGTCCTCTGCGATTTAAACAACCCGCTTTGCCCACGACACCCGCCGGCACGCCTCTGCCGGGCGGCGCAGGCCCAGCCGGCCCTCGGCAGCTCAGGGAGCCAGGCTGAGGGTCCCGTGTGGCTTCCCGGGTCCCGGATTCCCCCGGAAGGACGACGTCGGGACTGCGCAGGCAGAGAAAGGCCCTCGATGGGGGGACCGGTCCGTGCGCTCGTGCGCAGGGGTCGGCTTTGCGGACTCCTGTCGTTGTCCCCACGCAGCGGGGGGCGGGGGGGGCGGTGGCACGCTCCATGCCTGTCTGCCCTCTGCGTGACTGATCAGGGAGCTGGGACCCCTGGGGCCTGGGGGCTGCAGGTACAACCCCTGCAGGCAGGCGTTCTAATTTCGACTCCCCCTGAACTGGGCCTGGGAAGCTGGACAGAGCAGCGAGCCGGCCGGAACCTCCGCTGCTTCTCACGAGCGGCCGAGTCGTGTGAGACTCCGGCTCCAATGTCCCGGGAAGAGTGAGCGCCAGACGGGGGAGGCTGGTCGGAGGGTGGGGGCGGGAGCCGAGCGTGACAGCTAGTCGGCCACCCGAAGGGGTCACAGAATCGGACAACATACTCCATTTCCCCGAGAGGAGGTGATCCCAGACCAGCTCTCCGCTCAGGACGACCAGGTTCAAGTGCAACCCGGGCTCTGGCTGCCAGAGCAGCTGGTCTCACCCGCCCGCCCACACTGGGGCCTTCAGAGGACTCTCTGCTCTCCTCTGACTGTCCCCTTAGTGTCCCAAGAGCCGGAGAGCAAGTGAGAGCGGAGATCACGTCCCTCAGGCCAGGGTGCTGCACCCAAGGGTGGGCTGGCCCCACTCCTACATTGGCCCCTTGGGCGGGGCCTGCGGTCCTAGTGCTCCCTCCGCCCACCCAGAGCACCCTGTGGCCCACGTGCCCACCACCCACTGTCCTCCCAGGACTGGAGCAGCCTGTGTGTCCCCAGGGGGCTTCCCCGGACGCCTGGCCCGCAGGCGCCCTGCCCCCCAGGGCGGCGCGGCTGAGCCCTGTCCCAGGGAGCTGGAGCTCCAGCTGCGTGCCACGCTGCCCGCCCGAGTGAAGGTGCACACCCGGAACCCCAGTTCTCTCCAGCGGGCGTGCCACATCGACGCAACCTGACACTCGGGGGTGTCCGTCCAGGTGGTCCGCCTGCACCCGTGTTCTGAGCTGTGCAATTTTAGCCCTCCGGGTGCGGGCCTCCTCTCGACTTGGGAGCAAAAGCGTTCCCGAGAAGTTCAGATAACCACGGAAAAGCCAGCCGCCTGGCGCCTGGTCTGCGGGAAGTCAGCTCCTTCAACCTCCCGGGCCCCCCCGGCCTTCCTCCCCCAGAGCGAGCTGGTGTGCAGAACCAACGTCGACAAGATGAAAACAAAGAGGGTCGTGTCCCTCTGGGTGGGAGGAGGAGGCCCCGTTGGGCGGGCCGTCGATTAAGTCCCCGGGAGGAGCCTGCCGAGTCCCGTTTCAGCTTTCCCGCCTGGCCGCCCGTCCGCAGCAGGGACACGCAGCCCCAGGAGGCCTGCGTCCACCCACAACGACGCCCGTCCCTGTAAAAGGACCCCAGGTTCTGGCTGGCTCTCCTTGCCAGGACCGTGAGAGAGAACCGACCCCAGAGGCGAGCGTGGGTCTCGTGCAGCTGTGGCGCCGAGTCCTTGCCCCCGTCCCCTGAGGGCGGCGCCTGGAGTTCTCACGTAAGGGAGGAGAGAAACCCAGGTCACGGCCCGCCCTTTCCTCTGGACACGAGTTGTAAAACGCCGTCCGGGTGGCTCGGTTGGTTGCAGCGTCCTCCGGTGCCCCCCACGGTGGCAGGTTCAATCCCCCATCGCGGTGCGTACGGGAGGCAACCCGTCAATGTTTCTCTCTCCCTCTCTCCCTTCCTCTCTTTCTAAAAAATCAATAGACGTATCCTCGGGGGGGGGAGGGACTTAAAAAAAGCTTAAAACACAGTGTTTCAGGAGCCTTCGCGTCACGCACACGACGGACGCAGAATGGGAAGAGTAGGACGTGTTTTAAGGAGAGACCACGCAGGAAGAGCCAGGCTCTCGATGGAAGCGGCAGCCAGTCTGTGCTGAACGGCTGTTTCCGATCGCTGTTCCACTCGTTGGAGCAGGTGCGCTCTGTCCGAATCCCGAGGCACAGGTGTGTCCGCCCACCTTCCCGAGACACAGGCGCCCGGAGCCCGGGGGAGAGGGGCCCAGCGCCCCCAAGCCGCTGCAGTGGCCGGGGCTCCCACTAGATGGCAGTGTGCCCAGCCGTCAGGCCCTGGCACCCACTCACCCAGCTGTCCCCGAAACAGAGGGATGGTGTGTTACCTCTGACGCTCGGCACAGCCCTTTACCTCTGAAAAGCACACACAGAGAAACCGAACGGACGCGTGCTGTGGCGGCCACTGCGTGCTGAGGCGTAGTGGGGACCGCCGTGGCGGGGACCGCCCCAGCGTGGGACCCCGCGGGCACCGGTGGCCTCGCGAGTGAGCGGGCGACCACGCCACGCCTCCTGCGACCTGTGGCGTCCATCGCTCCCGTTTTCTGGGCGATGACACCGGACCCCCAGGTCGGCGCCCCGGCCTCGCAGTGACGGGTGGGAAACTCGTGCACCGGGATTCCAGCCCCCGCTGAGCGCAGGCGGCGTGAGAGCTTCCACCGCTTCTGGGAAGAGTCGCTTCCGAACAACGTCTGTGGGATTTTCCGTCTTCCCACCTCCTCCTTCCGAAAACAAACGCTTACAGGAGCGCGTGGAAGGGGTTGTTGACCCCAGCCTTCCAACATCCTGTCCTCGGAGTGAGGGGACTCCGGGCTCGCGTGACCTGGCCTGGTGAGGGGCAACACCCCGGGGTGTCCGCCTCCGCTGCCGCCGGGCCGCCCACCTCCCCGACGGCCGCACACAGTCTGCGGACCCCCCGAAAGACCCAGCGCAGGGGCCAGGTACACACGGGCTTGGCCTCAGGGCGTCCCCAGCCCCCGGCCGGCAACCCCAGACCCAGAAACAAGGGAAACGGACCACAGAAACGAGGTCATTGCTCCGTCCCTCCCAGCGAGCAGACGGGCGCAGTCAACGCTGCGCAGAACACACCCAAGTCAAGGGCGGGTTTCCTCCGAATGCCGCAGCCGTGGCGTCCACCATCAGGGTGGATGTTGGCGGTTTCACAGCCAGGAATACTGACATTATTACCCTGAGAGGCTCGTACTTGAACTCTGTGTCCGTGATTCAGCCCCTGGATTCGGAGTCCTGACGGGTCACCAGGCCAGGGGTCAGGCCCCACGAGCCGGGGCGCGCGGCCACGCCTCCGGCCCTGCCAATGCCCGATTCCCGTGTTGTTCTGTTTCTTCAGGGTTCATGACCCGCTCTTTCCAGGTGGAGCTCAGGAAGTTTGTGTGCCTGGCCAGGGGGCCCGGCCAGGAAGGGGGGCCGTGACACTGGCCCCGGTGACTCCCTGCTCCCTTTCTGCTCCGGGTCCCTCTGCGAGGCCAGGCTGGAAGGGTCACCGGCCCCACGGGCCTCGCCTGGGGTGCCACCCGCGCCCGCTGCCACTCCCCCCTGGGCGGCCCTGGCTCCTTTCCAATCGACAGGACGAACACGCCCGCTGACATTCTCCGCGGGTCTAGCACGCCCCAGACACCAACACCCACCCCCTTCCCACGGTGCAGCCGCCCGGGACCCAGCAAACAGAGGGCGGCGAGTTCCGGAGCTGGAGGAGCAGAGGGCCAGCTCTGCTCTGTCTTCCAGACTTCGCTGCCTCCTGCCCTCGAGACGGTCAAGTGCCACTGTGACCACATCCCCGGGGGGCTGCCCTGCCCGGCGCGGAGGTGCCTCTGTGGTTTAAGGGCCACGCACAGAGGTGTCCCCATGTCTGGAGTCCCCCCTCCCCCCACCCGGGAGGTGCTTGGATGGGGCCTGGGTTGGATGGGGCCTGGGGACCGCCCGTCCCACACAGCCCGCAGGACGCCGACCTTTGCTCCCTCAGCGTGTTGACAGCGCGACCGTCCGTCGACCTTTGTTAAGTGAGCAACAGGCTCAGGGGACAAACAGGATCGAACTGATTCCTGTTTGGGAGCAACTGCCAGTCAGCTGGGCCAGCACCTGTCCGCCCTGGGCTCCGAGGGCCCGCGGGAGGGGGGGTGACAAGTCCCCTCGGCTGCGAGCTCAGAGTTACAGACGGAGACCGGGAGTTGCCGGGGGCCCGGGGCTCCCCCACCCACTGCTCCCTTTGTTCCCCGGACCGCACCTGGAGGACAGCAGCGCCCCCCCCCCCACAGCTCCCCAGGGTGGGGGCTCGGCCCTGGCCAGGCCCCCAGGGGCAGGGGCCACCCGCCTCTCGCGCTCAGGCCCCGGACATGGGGCACAGCTGCCGCTCCCTCTCGGTTCACGGTCTCCTAACCAAATCCGGGTTACGTGAGTACGTCTGTCGGAAATCTAGAAGCTTCTGACAACGACGTGCGTCCGATTTCAACGTCTTCAGTCCCGTCCTGTGATTTCATCCCGACTTGAGAATAAACCTCAACGCCGAACGCTCCCGGGTTTCACGACTCCGGCTGCGCCGGAGCCAGACGGGGCCCTTCCGAGGGCCCACGCAGGGGAGCTGACGCGTGAAGACTCAGGAAACGGGCCGAGCCGGGGGCCGGCGGGACTTCGAGCTCACAGGTGCTGCCCCCCGGTCGTGGACGGTGTCCGTGGGGGGCCGCTTCCCAGAGTTTAAAAAGTGAAGTCACATGACGTCCAGCAGCTGGCTGGCTGTCCCACTCTTCCTCCCGGGAGCCGAGCGCCCGGCACTGCGGGTGGACTCGCCACCCAGCGGAGCGCGTCCAGGACCGGGCTCCCCGGGCCCCTCCCGGCTGCTCTCCAGGACGGCGCGGTGTGGGGGGAGGAGCGGGTGACCGGCACCCAGGGGCAGCGTCTGCAGCCCGTGCGGAAGGGCCGGGGCTCCCCTGCTCTGGCACCTGCCTTCCCCACCCACCTTCTGTTTTCTTGCCCCCACTCCACCCGGACGGGTGGGTGGGGGAGGGGAGCATTCCTCCACCACCAGGAACACACAGGCATAAGCCCAGGCACGACCAGCTCTTCTGGCCTTGGCCTTGGCGTCGGGGATTCAGGCGGGGGCACCGAAGCTGTGCCCGGAATCATCAACACGCGCCCCACCTCCAGGGGTCCCTCAGCTTCCTTCCCTAGACGCAGCCCCATCTGCATCTGGTAGGAACCCTCAGGGCTCTGAAACACTGTATCTAGTTTAAAGGACAAGCAAGTCACCAGCCCCCGGCGGGTGGAGAGTTCGGCTGCCCCGCTTCTCCCCGGAATATACCAGAAGCAGCGCCGACACTCCAGGCCGCCAGCACCTGGCCGGTGTCGGGCCACCGGGCCCGTGTTGTTGCTTCCCCAGGACGAGGTGCGGAGACAACAGCCCGACACGGCCCAGCTCTGCTTTCCTGGGCCCCGGGCTCACCCTGGACGCGCCGCCGGCCGGCACGGCCACCCTCCGCTGCGCACACGCACGCGGGCAGCCCCGTGCCTGCCCACTGAACGCCCCCTCCAGTCCCCCAGCCCCCCATTCCCAGGTGTCCTGGGGCAAAACCACCCTGCAAACCCTTCGTGTTCAAAGGTCCTGCAGCAGCCCCCAACAGAGACGAGGAGACACAGCTGAGAGCCCCAGCACTCCCGGCCACACGCCGCCGGAGGCTCCGGGGTGAGGGTTGCACCGCAGGGCCCCCCTCCTCCCGAGCAGAACATGGGCACCCGCTGCTGCGTGGCCCCCAGAGTGAGGCCCCGCGGCCCTGGGCATCCGAGGGCATCCGAGGCCTGCGGGGCGAGGGCATGGCTCCCAGCTCGGACAGGCCCAGGTGTGCTTTCCAAACCACCCGGGGTCCCACAGCAGAGAAGACGCCCATTGAAATGCTGGCCATCAGTCCTTCCCACCTTCAAATCATATGAACGACAGACCGACCCACGGGGCTACACTCCCCCCACCGTCAGAGTCCCCTCCTCCCGGGACGGTCCCCCTCCCAGCCCCGGGCAGAGCCCCCTGCAGGTGGTGGGGGGCCCTTCAGCATCTCGGCAGGGCAACCCGGGCACCATGGCACAGGGCCGTTCCAAACAAGGCGGCGTGTCCCCCCCCCCCACCGCCCCCCGTGTTGGTACTCAGCCCTGGCAGGGGACGGAACAGCCCTGCTCCCTGCTCCCGCGAGCCGGCTGGCGGGGGCGGACAGGGGACAGGCAGGCGAGGGGAGCGGGGGCGGCAGACGCAGGCTCACTCACCACCGGGCTGGCCCGCGCAGAGCTGGCTCTGGAGGAGGCGCGGGAGCTGGAGCTGAGGTGGCCGCTGTGCTCGGAGGGCTGCCCGCACAGCCCGCAGGGCGGCAGGAGGACAGAGACAGAGGGACAGGGTTAGCGGAGGTGCAGGAGGAAGGAGGCCCCGCCCCACGCTCCCGCGGAGGGAGGCCGGCCCCACGCGGCTGCGGAGGACACAGTGGAGCACGGAGCACGGGCCTCCCCGGGAGAGCGAAGGTGCAAAGCACAGAGCAGACTCACGGACACCCTGCAGGGACACAGAGCGCTGGGTTAGTAGGGGGACAGCTGCCGGGCGCCACTGCCCCGGGGCGCACGGGGGGCCGCCTCCCAGCCCGGCGCCGGGCAAAGGAGGCGCTGGCTCCCCCGCCGCCGCCTCTCCACGGGAACGCAGACTCGGGGTTAGGGTGCATGCAAGACTCAGGCGTGGCTTTCTCAGGCGCCCGTGGCGGTCTGTCACAGACATCTGTCCGTCTGTCCACCCAGCTCACACCTCTCTTCCGGAGAGGGGAGCAGCTGTGGCTGATTTATCTGGAAGCCATGACCTTTTCACTTTGGTATTGCGGTTTGTCCTCGTCCTAGGTACATTTCACGTTTTCTCGTTTTTAAAAAAGTTCTTACTTTCCTCTCCAACAAGGCAGGGTTGGGGAGCAGGGGGGAGGCAGGGTCCCAGCGGGCACCCACCGGGACCCCTGCAGGCATCGCCCCTCCTGCAGATTTCGGGGGCCACGGCGCCTCGGGGCGTGCCACCCCCTCGCCGGCCAGCGCTCCCACCGGCGTGGAAGTCCCCCAGGGTGAGGTCTGCGTGGATTCTGAGTCCTTCGTGACCCGGTAAGGCCTGGCAGGCAGCGTGCACTCAAAAAACACTTGTTGAATGAAAAACGCCCACTGTAGACTATCAACAGCCTTGGTCAGGGTGAGCACGCCCCCCGGGCCCACCCCACTGACGTCCACCCCTCCCTTCCTCTGAGGAACGTCTGTGGTGCATGTGCACTCGCAGGCTCGGCCGTGGGGCGTGCACGAGAGACGTCCCGGCAGCCCCGGCCGCCCAGTCCTGCGGCCTCCCCGTGCAGGAGAAAGGAGAACACCCGACGCTCGCACTCCAAGGCGGAGGAACTTCACCCCCGGGTTTGCCGACACGAGAGGAGCCTTCCTCCCGGGACAGATCCTGCCTCCCACCGAGCCCTGCCACTGGCGCCCTGCGTGAGGGTGCGGCCACGAGACGGGGTGCTCACAGAGCTTATCGCCGGCCCCAGTCTCCCCAGCTCCTTAGGCAGAAGCCGTCTGCGATCCTCTGACCCGACGGGACCCCAAAGAGGACGCTTCCAGTCCCAGCCGCTGCAGCCCACACCCCACCCGGGAGGCTGCTTGTGGCTGGGCGTCGGCGTGGCGCACGGGGCGCTCGGGGAAGCTGGGGACACCTGCGTTCTGGTCCAGGCTCCGTCTACTATTGGCCGTGACACCGTGGAAACGTGACTCGGCCGGTCCCCGTGACATGGCATTAAGGACCCTGACCACACAGAGGCAGAGGCACCGAGGGCCGCACAGGGGAGCGCGAGGGGAGGGGGGCTCTCCCCGTGGTTCCCTTGGCTGCCAGAAACACCCCCGCGGCTCCCGACCGGAGGGTGGCGACGGCCGCCTCCCTGCACGTCGGAACGCTGTGAGGTTCCTGCAGCGCGCACACAGCTCACAGTTAACGGCAAGGAAGGCGTCGGATGGAAAGGTTTCCAGGCAAAACAGCTTTACTTTCGAAAACTAGTCCTTCAGTTTCATGTAATCGTTTAATTATAATGAAGTCGTTTAACTGGAAACACATCGTGTGGGAGGGACTAACTGCCTGGGAGAACGGAGACCGGGAAGGTCTTGCGAGATGGAGACTGTCCCATGCAGGCCGGGGTCAGCCTGGGCTCTGAGGTCGCAGCCCTCGGGGCTCAGGACGGGGTGGACCCCGCACTGGCTCCCACGGTGCGGGCACTTAGCAGCGGCCACAGCCACTCGCTGGGTGGACAGCCTGGGGACGCTCTTCCCTCAGTCCCCTTGCTGAACGGGGGCACCTGGCGGTCCATGGGGGGCGAGATCGTGAGGGCTGGGGGCGGTGCCGACGCCCCCGGGTCTCCTCCGAGGGGTGTCACCCCAGGGCTCGTGCTGCCCAGCTGAAGCCAGCAAACGCCGGCCGAGCCCCGTCTGTGTGGGAGCACACCATTAGCCGGAGAAAGAATTTCCGTTTATTCTCTTTTATTTCATCGATAGCAGGGGCGTGCGGCCCTAGTGTAGGAATCTGTACAGCCAGGACGAGACCTTTCATTTCCTCCGGCCTGCGAAAGCTCTCCCCCCGGGCGAGCCCCACGGGAGGCCGGGAACACAGAAGCAGCGGCTGCTCCGAGAGCCGTCAGCCTCGCTGGGGCCTGCGCTGCGCAGGCCGAGCCCGCCCACCCCAGGGAGGCCCAGCTGCAGAGGGGACGTTCAGAGGGAACCTCGGGGGCACAGCCCCTGCAGACATCCGAAGTTTGACCTGGGCCTCCCGAAAACTTAGTGCCTGGGGAAGCTGCACGCTCTTAAATAACTAGGAGGCTGGCTGTCTCTCTTCTGACCGAAGAAAAGTTCTAGTTGCATCTACCCGTCACATCTTGCCGTGTGTAACAGGCCCCCACATTTCTGTGCACAGTACACACGAGATCACTGTACCCATCATTACACTGGCGGCATGGAATCGTTACGCCCCCGCATAATGTGCATCCTCACTTTTCCCTCAAAAATCTGGGCAAAAAAAAAAATGCCCCTATACACAGCAAAATATGCTCCATTTCCTCCATTAGGTTTACGAACTTTTTAACGGTCTACAAAAATATTTGAGAACTGCGAAAAAGATTTAGTCCACAGGCTGCACGACACCAGAAATGTTATACAGGATCAAACTGATACATGTTTGATTAGATGTCAATTAATTATTAGATATGATATTTATAAAAATCACTTTCTGAAGGAAACTGCAGGTTAGACTGGTTCCTTTGTCAGAGTCCCTGAGTATTCATGATGACTGGAGAGATTTTTAAAAATCATGACACTGGATTGCTTAGCTAATTTATGAAGTAGCCAATCATTTTCAAAAGCGAAGTGAGGAGGAAGTCACTGTCAAGTATTTCTCAGCAAACAATTCTACGGCTCGTGGGTCCTGCTGTGTTTTGTCAGGCCTTGTGGGGGCGCTGTAGGCGAGGGCGCACTGGCCGCAGGGGAAGGCGCAGGCTGCTCCGCCTGGCCCTCGGGGCCGGTCCATCCATCAGCTTCCTCCCTTCCGTGGACCGATCCAGGTCTCTACCTGCTTAGTTTTCTACCATCTGCTGGCTCCGTTTTTTCATTCAACAAGTATTTCCTGCACGATCACCCAGCCTTTACTGGCACACCATTTTCAACCCTTTGAAGAGGTGGGAAGACGAAAAACCAAAAAAAAAAAGGAAACGACCATGTTCTGTTCTGAGTCTTCGAATGTGTTCCTCGTCCTCAGTCGCCCAGAGGCGCAAACAATTTGGGGCCCGTCTGATACTCCCCCCCACCCCGAGCTGTGTTAGCAGGGGCCCCTCCGCTGCGTAAGTGCTGCCAGCGTGCTGCAGGGCGGGGGTGGGGAAGCTCAGACGAGGTTAGTCTTCCCGCTCCGACGGCCATGTAAGCTGACGGGCAGGACATTCAACTAGCAACCACGGGCATCGTGAGTCACGTCGTCCCCGGCCCCTCCCTCGGGCCAGTGATCTGGCGAGCCAGCCCAGGCCCCAGGCCGTGCAGCAGGCGGGAGAAACTCCAGGGACACAGACAGGGCCTTACAGCCGGCGCGCCACAGGCGCTCCCCCGCCGGGCCCTGCCCAGGCCACCGCCGTCGTCCCACGCCGACGCCTGCGCCAGAAGCAGACCGTCAGGACAGGCGCCCCCCTCCCCCGGCCCCCAGAACACACGGGAGCGTAAGCTAAGGAAGACGGACAGGTGCTGGGGGCGAGTCCTGAAAACTCGGAGAGGGGGGCGTGCGGGGCGGGGGGGGGCTCCCAGCCACCTCCACAGGCCCAGAGCCGGGCAGCGGGGGTGTGGGGGGGGAGGGGTGACACCTAAGGGACACTCGGGGTGGTTGCTGTCGCCCGCATGCGATGTGAGGGCCAAGCCACTCTAAGTCTGTTACTCGGCAGAAGAGGCCTTGCTCAGGGACCATGTGTTAGTGACTCAGGTTTGACACGAGCGGATCGCCCCAGGAGCCTGAGCTCCGTCACGGCGTCCTCATACCTGGCGTCTGGAAGACGACTCTAACGAGAAGTGGCTCTGGAATGAAAAAGGGCGTTAATTATCGTTCCATTTCTGTAACTCTTTAACAACCGTCAAGTGGAAAACAGTATAGCTGATCAGCTTCAAAATCCTACGTACTTAACCTCTGAGGGAGAACAGGCGTTTACAATGCCCTGAGCAGTGGGGTCGGCCTGTGCCCAGCCCACCCAGAGGACCCTCCGACATCCCCTCTCCCCCCTGCCCCCCACACCGCTGGACTGCGCCGCCAGTAATTCGCACATCGGACTCATAAGGGCCCGGTCCGAAGAAGAGTCAGAAGATTACTAACAATCCAGCGTGGCCACTTTGAATATTTAAGTTTCCTGCACGGCACAAATGCCTTGTATGTAAAAGTGGGCATTTTCGCAGTAAGGCAGCACAGGGGGTTAGCACCTGTTCACGCGGGAGCAAAGCAATACAAGACCACCCTTCTTTCCGTCAGGGAGTCACGTAACATCTTGCTCCGTCCCTGCCCAACAACGCTACCCAAACACTGTCTTCCTGCGGGCTGAAGCGGGGTGAAGGTCATCGTTGGCTGGCCAAAGGGGACTGACAGGCACCACGCACGTGTAAGCCCCACGTCGCGTAGTCAACCCCGCACCACAGGTGCGCATGCACGGTGCGCATGCATGGTGGGGCGCCGCGGAGGCGACCGGAGCGCGGAGGGGGTGGGGAGCGCACGCACCCGGTGACTCCCCGATGACGGCGGCCCGGCAGCGCTGTACAGACAGGAGGGCTGCAGGACGGAAGGAAACGGCAGGTTTTAAAAGCCTTGAAAAAACCCAGCCACAGATCACGACAGGGGATCCCCATGCTTTCAGGGAACGAGGCAGCCGGGGGAGAAGTGCATGCGTTCGGCCCCGCGGATGGATGCCAGTGCAGATTTACGCGGAAGATAAACACGAGAGGGTCTTTAACTTCAGTAAACCAGTAGCCTTCCCCGGAATCTTTGACACAGGACTCTTGTTTAGCCATTTCTTTCCAGGCATTCCTGGAAGGGAGGGCGAGGGGCTGGGACGGAAGGGGACGAGCTGACCGTGCACGCCCCAGAGCTACCAGGCGCGCGCGAATCCACAAACGGCCAGCGGGCGGAGGGGGCGCAAGCGCGCTCGTTTCCATCCGGGTGCCAGCCCGCGGCCGGCCGGCCGGAGCCCGCGCGCCCAGGGACATGCGGGCACCTAAAGGCCGGGGCGGCTGCGCCTGAGCTCGGGCATGAATAGCAGCGTGACTCATTTCCAGGCCCTGGCCACGGAAGGCCCGCAGCGCAGGGCCCCCGGGGCCGGTCTTGGAAGGCGCACAACGGCGGATGAATCACTCGGCGACGCGTGGGAGAGGACAAGGCCAGGAGACGACAGTTCAGCCTCCAAGCCCGTACTTGGAGTGCTGACCCGGGCTTCCTGGTGTGAGAACCAGACTGGGTGCCCGGAGCCGCACAGGCGCGGTGCTCCCCCGCCCGCGCAAACAGGAAGCCAGGGGAGAGCGAGCCAAGGCGGCGGGCGGGCTGGCCTCACCACGCCTCCTCCCCGACAGGGGAGTCCAATGAGGCGCAAAGGCCTCCCATATTGCTTCCTGGACACACTGACTGACGAGAGAAAAACATTTTTAAAAAACAAATGAAACCCCAAATGGGGAACAATTGCTGGAAAAGGAGGAGAGACCCAAGAGACCAATTCAGGGGGCCAGAGCTTTTGAGAATACCCATCGGCGAGGGCCTCCTTTTCCCTAAGTTCCTTTTTTCTATATAAGGGCTCCAGTCGTGTTCGATCATGTTTGAAAGGCTGAGCAAAGTCTTAATTAGGAAGCTCGCCAAGCCAATGAAAACCCTGGACCCGCTCAGCTCTTCGGGCTTCCCGTGGAGGAGGGTGAGGCATCCGCACACGCGCGCAGCGCTGCCCCTGGCACCCGGGGAGGGGAAGGAAGAGGAGGGGGCGGGGCAAGGGGGGGGAGGCAGACCCGGTTTCTGCTCTGGGGCTTGTGGGGGCAAGGCCGGGGTCAGAGCAGGACAGTCCCTGTGTCCGGAGAACGCGGGCAGGAGGGGACAGGGGCTGTTTCATCTCAAAGGCACATCACGTTGTGAACTCACACAAAACCACGCTTCACAACAAAATCGGCAACAGGCATGCACGTGCGGGGGCAGGAGAAAGCAGCAGCATCAGGAGGAGATCCAGGTGGTCCCGTTCAGGGACGAAACTGCGATGGGGACCGAATCCGGAGTCGTGAATCCACACACCGGCGAAACCCGGTTTCATTCTTTTCAACCGGTAGCAAGACCGTGGGGGTTCTGAATGTCTTTGTTGTTCAAGGTCTGACTTTTCAAGTTTGGTGGGAAAAGCTCAAAACCGGGACTCTTTGGAGATATCAGCCTGAACTTGACGCAACAGCATGTGCCCCTGGAATCGGTCCTCACCTTGGCCTCCTAGGGAGTCACAGGAAGCCGGCGCTCACAGGTCTTAGCAGACACGACAAATTCAGTGCTATAACTCTGAGACCCAGGGTCTCTGTGATACTTCTGGGGAGTACTGCTCTTGTAACATAGTAATTTCCCCAGATAAACTGTGTGGCCCAGGTTTCCGTGCCGGAAGCAGTCCACTGCTCATGCAAGACCAAGAACCACCCTCGAAGGTGAAGCGGCTCCCTTCAGGTAACGGGATGGCACCTTAAGACACTCCGCCACCCCTTCAAGGTCCCGTGTTTGTGCCTGTCCCTCCTGTGCCTCGAATAAGGGACGCCAACAGGACCTGAGGGGCGGGCAGGTGGAATTCTGCGGTGGGCAGGGAGAGGCTTCCGAGTGTCTAATGCGAATACTGCGCCTGCCCCAGGGGCTGCGTTGACAGCAAGGAGGCCTGCGCGGCCGCGTGGGAGAAAGCGGGCACAGCCCCCTCCCCTGATACGGTGCGGTCCAGCCCGGGGCTTGCGCCCGAGGCGTCTGAAAGCCTGGGGAGTCTCTCCGTGAAGTCATCACTGCTGTGCACCCCACGGACACCTGCCCGTGACCAGACCTCAGTGGACGTGAACCAGCCACGTGCCCGCGCGGGGACAGACGTGGCGTCTGCAGCGGGCAGCGGTGGCCGGGAGGACTCTGGGGGCGGCCAGTGAAAGGTGCCCGGCTGTGCGGGGTGGGGACAGGTGGCCCGGGGGGAGTTCCGAGGAGAGTTTTGACTCGGACACGTTGGGTGTGGGTTCTCTCTCTTAGATGAATTCAGGTGCTGAGCTTCGGCGACTACTTCACCGCCGGGCACTGGTCTCCACCGCCCTCTTCCACTGGAGAACAGTGTCCGCGTGGAAAGTGAGGAGGAAGGAGTGCTCTGAAGGACAAAGTGCTCTTTGCAAGAGCCAAACTCCCCTGGAATTAGGAAAATATATACAACAGCCCCCGAATTCCAGGTGTTCAGGCCCACCAGGGTCTTGTGGCTTAGAGCCGACCTTGTTTAGATTCACTCAGAGCTCACCCACGGGGGGCGGGGGGGGGCACGGGCCAGAGCCGGGGGGGAGGCTGGAGTGCGGTCCCTCCTGGCCACAGGGGGCGGTGGGCGTCTGGGGAGGGGCTGAGCACGCTGACGGGGGGGGGCATGATAGAGGCGAGGAGACAGACCCCCGTGGGTCCCCGCCCAGTCACTTTCTACATACTCTCCCCCCCCCCCACCGCCCTTTTCCTAAACCTTACGGTCGAGTGCACGTTCTCACTCGGGACACTCGCTGAAGACCAGTTTGTCCCTGTCTGCGGACTGCAGTGCGTTTGCTGCGGCAGAGGTGCACCTGGCGGGCAGGTGCGTCTTCTGTGCCAGGAGGAAACACGGCTGTCGGGGGGGGACCTTCCTCCTACCCGAGCTCCCCTGTTTGTTGTGCACGTGGGCCTCAGCTGGGACAAACCAGCCCGACCTCTCGGGGCGCTTAAAGAATTGAGCAATGTTTGCCTTGCAGCACGGAGGCGGGCCCTTGACCGTGGGGAGGAGCTGGTGGGCAGCCAGCCGTGTGGACCGGGGTCTGACTTTCACGCCGAGTTCTAGTCCCTCCCTGAGAAACTGGCCCCAGGTTTGCCTGCACCCCAAGTTTGCAGGGACTTCCAAGGAAAGACATTCAAGGCCTTCTTATTTTTTTTTTCCTCCTTCTGATTAATTCTAACGGCAACACGGCCACCTAAATACTTCCGTTCACGGTACCGAGCTAAATCCCACAATCCACTGTCAAACAGCTGGACGTGAATTCGAAAGGACCGGGGGCCAAGTCAGAATTGGAGGCAGCGCGGCCGCCACCGCTGCGGAACGGGCCCTGCCGCCCCTCCCGGGGAAGCTTGTACGTGACACGGGTGTTAAAGGAGGCGAGAGCCGAACCCACACGCACACACGCAAGGCCACATGCGGCAAACCGGCCGCCTCCGGAGGGTGGGTGGGGAAGGGGAACCAACCAGCGTCTCCTCTCTGGACGATGACCAGGCGGAGGACCTGCCGTCGCCGCTGTAGCTGGAATTCTGGGCACCAGAGAAGACGTTGTCAGTGGCGTGCACTCCCCTACGGTCCCCGAAGCCCACCTGCCCCGGGCAAAGGCGGACGCAGAGCACAGAGGACACAGCCACGCCGCACCCGCCCTCCAGAACAGGAAGGGTCGCGAGTCTGCCGCGGCGGGGACTCCTAGCAGCCGGCGGTTGCGGCTGCGTCTCACAGTCCGGTGTCCGCGACTCCGTGAGTCGTGCGGCTGAACTGTGACCGTTTCCCACAATTTCCTTCTCTAGTGTCACCGCGTGTACAAGGGACGGACGGTCGCCTCCCAGTCTGCATTCTGTATCACACGCCTCTCAGGGAACTAAAACTCCGTCTGTGGTGACACCTCCCATCGCCACCCTCCAGGCCAGCGACCTGAGGGCTGCGGCCCGGCCCTGAGCCCCACGCACGCAGGGGCCCTGAGCGAGCCGTCCCCTCCACCTGGGGGACCACTGTCCACAGACAGTGACGGCCCTGCGGCTGTCTTCACGGCCCTGCGGCTTGGGTACACCCTCCAACAAGCTCAGGTCCAGCCCGGAATCTGGACGGGCAGGTGGCCGGACGCTGCAGACGAGGGGGCGTGAGGCGGGCATCCGGACCAGCGAGCGGCCCCCTCGAGCAGGGGGGCGATGTTTGCAGACGCTCCCCTTCCGTCTGGCACGTCACTGCCCCCACAGCCCCCCCCGCCCCGCGCCTGGCAGTCTTCCCAGCCCCAGCCAGCCTCTCCCTAAACTCATCCTCAGGGGGTCCTGCTCGGGGGTCTGCCCACACACCACGCCACGGCATGAGCTGTGGGTGGTTTGGCTCTTCCACCATCGCACTCCTTGATCATTTACGAAACCAAATTCCTGCCCAATTTGACTCTTCGGTGAACCGTTTTACAATGGAGGTCTCGTGTATTTCTCGAGGTTGACTTAAATCTTAATAAACCACACAGCGCACTGTCACTGGTGTAACGTAAGAATCAAAGATGAACACAGAGCTGTAGATGGAGGAAGGTATAAGGGGGATGAAGGGTGATGGAAAAATATAATAAAAATGTTAAGCAAACAAAAGCGATCAACAATAACACGTGTGGCTACAGGAGACCCTGGAGCCTGAGGACACCTTGATCTGTCACAGAAGCGGCAGCCCCACGTCTGGGGCGTCCGAGAGAGGGCGTGACATCGGGCGCAGGTTGCACGGAAGCGTGTCCTGTGGGGACTCCCGACTCCGGACCGCGGGGCTCTGCGGCCGGTTGTGGAGGAGGACGCTCGGAGGACGGAGGGTCGCCACCCAGCCAGTGCGGCCCCGAGGGGCGGGCAGTCTGGGCCGTCGGAGCACCTGGCGGCTCTCGACCCGAGGGCCTGCACGCCACAGGCTGCTGCTCTGTGGGAGACTCAGGGAGACACGTAGCAGACTGGAGGGCGTCGGCGGGACATCCCCGCAAAGAGCAGCAGGGTGGGAGGACAGAGCCGCCGCCCACGGGGAGGGTGTGTATGGAGCAGAGTGGACGCGATCCTCCGTGGGGGGGGGCAGGGGGCAGGGGGGAGCCTATCGGTCCGGTTCAGGAAGCGAGAGCGGGGCTGGCCTCCCCCTTTGAAACCTGGACGCATCATTTACGTGTACAGATGGGATACCTCAACGCCACTGAGACGCGTTTAAAGAGACGGTATTTTACACGGCTGGTAACATGGACCACTACGGAAAGGTGGAGCAAATGGCAGGGGCGGGGAGGTTCTGGAGAACTGAACGCAGAACAGAGCTGCGGCAGGTCACGCAACCGAACAATGTATCCAGTTGAACCTCCTGAAATCCACAGAGCCCTCCCGGATAAACCCTCTGCAGCCCGCCTCCCGGGCTCGCCTCCTGCTGCTTCGGTGCCTTTCTCCCGCTCAGCCCCCCTCTCCCTGGGAGAGGACCACTCGGCCAGCCCCCCCCCCCCCCCGCCCGTGAGCGTGCAGAACACACGGGCTCTGCCGTCTTCAAGGCCGCAGACCGGGGAGGCGAGACCGGCAGTGCCGAATTCCAACGTGATCCCCACACACCGCACACACGCACCCGGGGCGGCACAATAACGGAAGAGCGGATCTGTGATCCCAGATCTTTTAAACGTGGAGATTCTGACGATCGTGAATCTCTTACACTGACGCGTAGAGTGTCAGAGGACTCCCGTCCTGAGGATGTTGACTGAAAAACGTTAGCTGTCATTCTGGCATGCACTATGGGGGCGGGGTGGGGGGGGGGAAGGCCCGTTACAACACAGAAGCAAAAAAGCGGCTACACTTTAGAAAGCGCTGCCGCACCCTGTCCGGGTTTCAGGCATGCAAACGGACAATACTGACCCTGCCAGATCTTCTGCTCAGGGACTGTGATCCATACAAGTCTCCATCATACCCATTTGTCTGTTTCAAGGAAGAGAAGGAGAGAGAGTGACATCATCGGCGTCCGAGAGGGGACAGGGCGCGGACAGAGCACACCGGCCAGCAGGGACACACCAGGCACACACCGAGCTTTCTGGGTGGAGCGGGGGAAGCACAGCCCAGGAGAACCCCAAGCCTAGCACCACCCCCCCAGCCACCCCGAACGCCTCCTGCCCTCCCCTGCCCCTCTGCAGCTCAGGGGGGTCCACTCGGGGTCCCTTGTGAACAACTGCAGGGCATCTCCTGCGGATGAAGCTGGGGCCTGGGGGCAGTTGCTTTCTGGCGGTTTCTTCTCGTTTCCAGCCCCTCGGCCAGGCCGTGAAAACCCCAGCTCCAGGGATGCCTGGCTGCTGGGCAGTGGGGTGGAGGTCCAGCCGGGGCCAGTCGGCTGTCAGGCCTCGGCTCGGGCGCGTTCTCGGCGCGCGCGGCCCACGAGGAAGCCGTGGTCAGAAAGTTCGGACACCGCTGCTGGTCAGCCCACGACTACATAGAAAAGCGCATCTCGGAAGAACAGTGGTATCCCTACGTCCCCCACGTTAGTTTTTCATCTGTCCCGTCTCCCTACTTTATTTTCCCCCTAAAGTGACATCGGAGGACTTCTTTCACGATTTCACAGTTTGTCCTCCAGTAAAAATAGGAGAAAGCTCCCGCTGCGCACATGCCCCCCAGGTGCCCCCGGCCCAGCGCTCCGGGCTGTCTAGGCTGCTCGAGCCTGCCCCCCAGGAGGTTTCTGCTGAGGAGCAGATGTCCCGTGACAAAGACGCAACCGGCCCTCGTGGCAGAGGAGGAGGGGCAGGCCACACCACGGGGGAAAAGGGAAGGGAGTGCCAGGCTCGTGGACTCGTGGAGTCCGAGTTCCAAACGGAAGCCCCGGCTCCGGACCCTCGTTCCTTAGCCGGCTGGGCCCCGCCCCTTCCGGGCCGGACGCATGTGCACAGCCACGCACTCGCCCGGGCCCCCGGGAGGTCGGCCCCGACGGACACGGGGAGGGCGGCGCTCGGCACTGGCGTGACATCAGTGTAGAGTCAATACACGAACTTCCAGAGTGTAAACCCAGATTCGTGAGATCTGGGCGATTAAAAGTCTGTATTTACTTTCGCTACAACTCAAAAAAAAAAAAAAAACCCATAAAAAACCCAAACACACCAACTTGAAGTTTCTAAATTAAAGAAGAGTGTGTGGAAATCTCTCAGCATTCAATTGGAAAACTCTAGGAGAACTTTTAAAGCATTTCTGACATAAGTTTAATAGAAAAAGTGTTGAGATTGTCAGGAATTTTATACTCCGTCTAATGGTCTAATTTCTTCTCTTGACCAATAGGATTATTCGATATGGAAGTGCGTGTCACTGACGTCTGTACTTCAGACCTTGGCCTTATTCTCTTGACATCTGCTTAAAAACTAGTTCCGATCCCGGCTGCTATGGCTCAGCGGCTTGAGCGCCGGCCTGCGAACCAAAGGGTCGCCGGTTCGATTCCCAGTCAGGGCCCCGTGCCTGGGTTGCAGGCCAGGATCCCAGTAGGGGGCGCTTGAGAGGCAGCCACACACAGATGTTTCTCTCCCTCTCTTCCCCTCACTCTAAAAATAAATAAATAAATAAAATCTTTAAAAAAACCTAGGTTCTGGAAAAAACAGAACAAGGCAGGCTGACAGCGATCCATTTTGGGTAACTTGGACTTTACTGCACAAGTACAAGTACAGTGAGCAGTGAAAATGGGCCCCATACAAACACTCTGCGTCTCCAGTGCCGCTGATGGAGCAGGGACCCCTTTAGAGGAACCCTACCCTTTGGTCTCCTCCTCCGACGGGGCGACAGCCCGCAGCAGAGGGCGGGGGGGCTGGGGGGCACCTGCTCCCATTTGTCACCCTCCCCCCCCCTCCCCGCCCGGCCTTCCATGAAGTCACCGGGAGCCCCTGCCTTCAGGGGCATCGGGGTGGGGGCGCGCCCCTCTGTGCTGGAGCAGAGTTCGGTCGTGGGGAAGCAAGCACCGTCCTAGGACCTGTCCCCAAACCTACTGGGTCTGAACCTCTACAGTGGAAAGGTCTTTGACCTCCTTGAAGAAACCGCCAATTCTGCTCTTGGGTGGCTCTGGGTGCCGTGTGGAGGCAGGTGGGCCCGCTCCCTGTGCCCTGATAGGGTCGGGGGAGCTGAAAATTAACGGCAACTCGAGGACAGAAAGCCCAAAGACCCCAGGCCAGCTTCCTCCGCGGTCTCTGCCGTCCACCGGCTTTCCCTACGGGGTGTTTCCCACGCTCCGTGCCGTGCCCTCCACCCGCATCGCCGTCACCCGGCCTGCTCCTCGGCACCCTGGGCCCCGACCTGGGGGATCGCCCGGAGGCCCGGACTCTGCATTCTAACGGGCCCTGCGGGGAGTCCCGCCCACGGGACGTGGGCAGCACTGCCACCCGAGAGCAGGACAGGCCCTCGCAGACTGGCGTCTGCTAAAAGGGGAAAGACCCGGTGCGGGGACTCCGGCCCCATCCAAACCACTCATCCCGACGGTGCGTCGTGCGCGGTTAGTGGGTCAGTGTGCGGTTAGTGGGTCAGTGCGCGGTTAGTGGGTCAGTGTGCGGTTAGTGGGTCAGTGCGCGGTTAGTGGGTCAGTGCGGTCAGAGCGCCCACCCACTTCACACGCGGCCACGCAGGAGCCCCTCGTTAGCGTGTGTGACGAACTGGGTGAGGTTAGTGCCCACAAGGGCATGGGAGACGAGGAGCGGAGGAGAGAGCAACAGCAATCGTGCGCGAGCAGCGCCGGACGCCCTCCGTCAGGACGGAGTGCGAGCCGGAAGGAGAAGCGGACCCCAGAAGTTGCCCCTGGCTGTCGCTGCCCCCCGCGGCGGTCTTAACCTCCACCAGGGACCGGCCTGAGCGTGGCCCTCTCTCAAGTGGGAAATAAAAGGGCTAAACACCCAGAAACCTGTTGCTAACGCACGTAACGGCCTAAAAAATGGTCACAGAAATGCCCTTGCCTGCCAGTGTCATCGGGGGAGGAGAGCACTTTCTGGAGCTCCGGTGTGTCCCTGCCCATCCGCTGCCGCGGCGGGCCCCTCGTCCTGGGGACTGAGCCACCGGCCGGGCTGGACCAATGGAGCTCAGCGGCGCCCCCAGGAGGCTCGGGGGCACACGGCGGCATTACTGATTGTCGCCTTAAAAGTAAGGTCGCTTTTCCAAACCAGGACTTTGCTAAAGAATTCTGAGATCCTCTAGAATGAACAAGGCAGGAGAGGGTTTTCGGAGAGCTCTGGGGGTGAAGGGGGTGGCCGCTCCCACAGCCTTGGCGCCGAGAGCGCTTTCTGCGGAGACGAGACCTCCCTTCGCGCGGGGCACGCTCACGGGCCTCGGAGAGCACCGCTGCTGTCCGGGGCAGGTCTGAGGGGCAACTTCGGATTCGGGTGGAAAACCTTCGTTTTGTCGCTGGAACGGGGGGACCTTTCAGGCGAAGGAGCAGCCCCGTCCAGCATCCATATGAACGGATGCAGATTAGAAACAATGGACTTTTTCAGGAAATGAAGCGACTGTAAATTCAACCTTTTAAAGGAACTGTACAGGCTTCTGGAATTCTTGATCTGATTTGAGTTCCCTGAGAGCAGGGGGTCTCCCGCCCCCCGGTCCCCCGGGGACCCAGAGCTGCCGGCACAGCGCGGCGCACAGCTGGCGCTCACACAGGGTGCGCTGGTCTGGCCTGGAGCCCGACCAGGAGGCAGGAGCCGCACCCGGGGCCCCGGGGGAAGACCCAGCACTGGACGGGGTGCCTGCCTCTGGCCCTTGGTCCCCAGCTGGAGACTGGGGGACAGCGTGGGTATCTTTTCGGACAAAGATGCACTTGGCTTTTTAGACAAACACCCGTGAGATTAGTGGGGCGACACCGGTTATCATCTGTCACACGACACCCTCGGGGTCACACAGCAAATCATGCAACCGTCTCACCCAGGCGCAGGGACCGCTGGTCTCCAAGTCGGGCTGTGGCTGTCCAGCAGGACGGACGAGGGGGGAGGACAGAAAAGAGAGGCCACAGCCATTAAAACGCGAAGTGAAACAGGACGACACCAGAGGGCGGGCAAAACGGAACACGCTAACACAGCGTCAGCTCCCTGGGGGCGCCTGGGACCTCGCGTGGGTTTGCAGAGGGAGCCGCGTCGGAGTGACGGACGCCGTGTGAAGCCAGCGACGTGACCTGGGGTGCCCACGGCAAATGCCGCCACGATTCCCCGCCTCTGAAGCGGTTAGAGCGACTGCATCTCCTCCCCTGAGGTCCGCCCTGGCTCCCGCGGGTGGGGCACCTCGGTGCAACCGCCGCCGCTGTAGACGGCAGAGTCACAGGCACACCTGGTGCCCAGCGGAGTCCGGGGGTGACATCCCGGTGTCATGTCCTGGGGGTTAAGAGCAAAGCCTTCCGCCCTGCCTGGGGGCTGCTCCGAGACCTACTTACTACCCCCCAGCGGGGTGCGACTGCAACCCGGGGCGCGCTAACCTGACGTGCGCAGACCTGTGGGCCGGCCTAAAGACACAGCTTCCCCCCTGCGCTTCCAGAAGCACACACAGTTCGCAAACATAACCGTGAGCCCTTTCGGGAAGTTTAAGGGAAACAGGTCTTCGTGTTTCTCAGCCGATAAGCGGCCGTGAGGAAGAGGTTTCATCCAGCTGACAGAAGGGGCGCCCCCTATCCCCTGGCGGAGAGCAGATGCAGCCTGGGGGACCCGTGCGGGTGGGCACGACTGGCAAAGGGGTGGCCGCCCTGTCCCAGGGACAGACTCCTGGAGAAAGACGCCACGGGGGTGCGGCCTGGGCCTCTGTCCCGTAGGACTGGCCCCCCCACGGCAATGAGGGGACACCCCGCCACCGCAGTCGACTTTTCTCTTTCCTTTGTTTATTGTTGTGCAACCACCGTTGTTGGAAGGCTTCCCCCCACCCCCTACCCTAGATTTTGTTTTCGTTAAAATGTGTTTTCTGTGGTTGGCAGGATCGCAGTCGCCCCCCACTTCCCCTGCCCCCTCCGCCCACCTCCTGAGCAGATTTTAAACACGCGTCCGGTCGGTCGGACACTGAGGCCAAGGGGACAGGGACCGAGGGCAGGGAAGGCCAGCGCGGGGAGGAACAAGCGAGGGACGCGGACACACACTGACCACCCACGCGGACTCAGTCGCCCGGGCACTGACCCTCAGGCTCCCGCGGCTGCCCACGGACAGGCGCTCGTCTTCGTCGGAAGCCTGGTGAGAGAGAGAACGAGAGCGGCGTGACGTGGCCGCGGGGCACAGAGATGCCGCGCGGGCGGGGGGCGGGGCCGGGGGTGGCCGACGCCCCACGGCAGGGCGCCCCGCCTGGGCAGCCCCCTCAGCCCCCAGTGCACTGAGCGCAGGCCCTCGCGGACTCGGGCTTCCCTGGGGCGCCTCCGTTTCCCGAGGGCGGCGGCTGGGGCTAGCCCGGCCCGGCCTCACAGGAGTTTGTTTCAAACGCCGCCGTGACTCGGCTGGTGTCAGTTCACTTCCCAAAGCACGTTTTTTTTTTTCACATGCAATTACGAATGCTTCAGCAAGGCGTCAGGAAAATGCGTCTTTGCGAGTATCACGCTGCCATGTGCGTTTGCCCTGTGAAGCGCTCAGGGGTCCCCGGCAGCACACACGCACGGAGACCGCCACGCCCGTGTTAATAACAATCCTCGGCGGTTTCCCAAACACTCTCCCTCCCCCGAACCAGGTCCAAAGGCTACGGGCTGAGGTCACAGTTTTCGCTTAGGCAACAACAGCAGGTCTAGTTTCCTTCATAAACATCACTGAGGAGCACACGCACGCAGGCGTCATATGTAAACATATATGTGTATTTCAGCCGCTAACAGTACGGGTTCGACTCCCAGCTACGGGCCCGAGCAGCGCGTGGGTGCGGTACTGACCGACGTGTTCCGTCTGGATCGGCGGGAGTAGCGCTCACTGTCCTCCTGGCGGAGCAAAGGAGGAGACGGCAGGGAGGTTAGGGACGCGCAGGAGCAGCCTCCGACAGCCCCCCTGCGGGACAGGCCCGTGGGACAGCCCCGCACACAGGACAGCCCCCCTGCGGGACAGGCCCGCAGGCCGGGGCGAAGCTCGTTTCCCAGGCGGAGGGAGCCTGTGCTCTTTACGGCCCCAGCACTCCACTGCCCTCCTTGTAACACCTGGACCGGCATCTAGGGGCTTAGGGGGTGATTTCACGCTTCCTGATTTTGTCAATACGTGTAAGGGGCACTGAGCAGGACATTCTCATCCTGGCCGTGCGCTCCCAAGGGCTGAAGGCCCGTGACAACGTCCGGGAGGCCGGGGCCGGGGACAGGGGCGGTGCGGCACAGCTGGGTGCCCGACTCAGCGAGGAGGAGGAGCCGTGTCCTTTGGGGACCGTGGACAGCGCCGTGTCCTCTGGGGCGGGGCGGAAGGACAGGGTGTCACGAGGGGTGGGCCATCTCTCAGCGGACACAGGAAGACAGAGGGGCTGTTCTGGGAAACGGTGGGAAGCGAAAGTGATCTTCTCACCGGAGACAGAGGTCTCGGCGGGCCCGGCGGGTGAGGTGGGGGCGGGGCGACAGGGAAGGCAGAGGAAGGGCAGGAGGAGGGCGGCCGCCCGCCGGCCGCAATGGGGACTGAAGGAAATGGAGCGCAGCGCGACCTCTGGGTTCCGACCAGAGCAGGGGAGGCAGGACGGAAACGGGGGGGTTCTCACACCAGGGACAAACGCCTGAGTGTCCCCAGTGGACAGTCCTCTGCCCCAGGAGGTCGGGGAGGGCGGAGACCCCCCACCAGCGCCGGCCTGGAGACTGCAGGGGCCAGACGCCTGGCCAGGCCTGGACACATGTCACCCACCAGGCCGGACGCCGGAGGGACCCTCGGAAAGCCCTCGGTACTGAGTTACGGGGCACAGGGACCCTCTGACGCCGTCACCCGGTGCAGCCACCGCACCGGGAGCCGCGCCAGCTCCGTGCACGGCGCTCGAGGCCTACCATCCACTGCTCGATGTCACCCCACTTCGTGTCCAGCCCGTAGTACTTCTACAGACGGAAGGAAGAGACGATTAGGCAAGAAGTGAAACGGTCACTGCGTAAGGAGCTGTTGTGACATGCATTCCCCAGCGGCCGCCAAGCCACACACGGTGCGGGTTACACGCCAAGACAAAGCGGTGACAGCAGGTCGGGTTCTGCAGAGGCAGTGCCACCAGGAGCCTGGGCACACCCTCCCCGCCCCCCTGCCACCCGCCCACAGGCCCAGGGAGCAGGGGCGCAGCACTGCTGGGGGCGGGGCGGCTCCCTGGACACCAGGGATTGGCCCTGAGCCCTCCCTGACGGTGCAGAGGGACAGTGCTGACGGCCAATCCCGTGCCACACCCAGGAATGAGAAAGCCTGGTGGGAAGGAGGGGCCACTGTGACCGCCCCTGGCTTCCTGGCCATGCGTGCCCGCTGCCTGACATCTGTGCCGGGCTGGGCGCAGGAGGCGGTGGACTCTGGATGCCCTCAGGGCCACGAGGCAGAGGCCTCAGGACAGGGAGGAAGGCCGGTCTGCCAGTCCCGCCCTGCGTGTTCCTCAGCTCACGTCCCCTCCCCCCCCCCGGTGTCTGCCTCGCCTGTCTCCACGGGGCATCCTGGTCGGAGCCAGGAAAACGGACTCCGGCCGGTCCCCGCTGTCCCTGAACCCGGTCATTCCCGGGCAGCAGGAGCCCGGGTGGGCGGCGTCCAGATGACGGGATTTGGCTTTCTCCTCGCTTTGCCCTCAACTTCCAGGTAGAAAATGAAGGAACAGCCAACCAAAGCTCCACCCCACAGGTGAGAGTTTCCTCGTTACACAGTGAAGCCTTGTAATCAGGAGGGAAAAGTGGGGTGAAAAGTATAAGAGGAGCTTTGGCATTGTTCCACGCCGCTGCCGCGGCCGGCTGGGCCGCCGTCTCTTTGGAGGGGCGGCCCGATCAACGTCAGCTCTCTGGCCGGGCGACGGCCTGGCCTCCCTCTTCGAGGCGGTGGGAGGAGAGGACCGGGGGAGGGAAAACCAGGAGGGGGGGCTGGGTGAGGCTTTGAATATTCACCCCGCACAGAACTGTGGTGTCAGACAGACGTACAGGGGCCTAATCTTCATCTGTGCGTGACTTTCTCCAGGCTACAGACTGCGGAAACAATAGCCCACACTCCCCGGGCGTGTTTCAGCGTCGGACTGAGTCAGAGGCCACAGCCTAAAGCTCCTTGGCCTCCAGTTGGCATCAGCCGAGTGGCTCTCCGACTCCAGCAAGCAAACTGGGAGGGCGTCACCCTGCTTGGTCTCACGGCTGAATTACAGAGACAGACGATGGCTTTTAAAACAGGAGACAGACCGTGGCTGGCGCAGCTCAGTGGATTGAGCGCGGGCTGAGAACCAAAGCGTCGCAGGTTCGATTCCCAGTCAGGGCACATGCCTGGGTTGCAGGCCATGACCTCCAGCAACCGCACATGGATGTTTCTCTCTCTCTGTCTTTCTCCCTCCCTTCCCTCTCTAAAAATAAATAAATAAAATCTTTAAAAAAATGGGAGATGGTCCTATATACATTCATAAAGTCATATTGAAATCCCAAAAGAAGTCTCTTCTGGAATTTCCCTATTTTTTCCCCCTGAATTCCCTGTTTTCCCGTCTCCTTTGTGCCTGTCCTCACCAGGTGCTGCGCACGACCTCCTGCTCTTCCCGTTGTAAGGGTAAGAGCCAGTGTCTGGAACCTTCCATCTCATGGCGGGGCGGGGGGGGGGTGTCCAAGTAGCTGCCATGCAGGAACTCTCACTGCATTTCTGTGTTGTTCCGTGGGGGCGGGGGCGGGGGGGAGACCCCAGAAACATGCAGTAAGTAAGTGAGTGCCGTGAGCGGGTCGTGCTGATGCGAGCTCACAGGGCAGCCCAGCGAACTCCAGAAGCGCACGTGAACCGGAGGGATCCGCGGGTGAGGCATGCAGGCGGGCGAGAGCCCCAAGGGTGCCCGAGGTGCTTGACTTTCAGGAACAGCCTTGATTCCAGAGGAGAGACCCGGTCCCTGGAAACAGCCACGTGGGCTAGGGGGGAGCCCTTACTGCCCGGTCCTCCCTGTCGCGAATCTCAGGACCGGGGACGGGCCTTGGCGTCCGTCCGCCCCTGCGCCTGCGTTCCTGCCGACGGCCGGTCGCACTTTGTGCACCAGCGGCCGCCCTGACCCCGCGCTAGCTGGGCGTCCCTGCCTGGGACCAGTCATGAGCCCGTCCAAGGGGCGATTTCCAGATGGCGCCCCCTGTCTGCATTTGGGACAATTGCGTCTGTCCCTCGGGTCACAGCAAGGGTCCCAACCTGACTCTCCCCACTCACTTCTTCCCGAGACCCTGCACGTGTGACTGGGCTCGAGCGCCCACCTCACACCCCAGTTAATTCCTAGACCCTGGGAACACCACCAGCCAGGCACAGACAGGGGCCGGTGCCCACGTCACGACTCCCCACAGACGTGGGGGACGCGGTCACACAGGTGGGGTGCGGGCAGGACGGGGCGGGGTGACTCGGACTGGGGCGGGTCACGGGGGTCGAGCACAGGGCCTCGCGGTCTCTGCGAGTGCATGCGGGGGCCTCGCCTCTGGACTCCGGCCGCCTGCCTCTGACTTAATTAGTAGCTGCTCTAGAAGGAAAACCATGGCTCTCGCTCGTTATCTGGAACCTGAATGAATTCATATAAAAAGCAACTAGGAGAGGGGCCGCAGGTGACGGGTTAAGTCCATGCGCGGGAAGGGCCGTGGGCACGGTCTGGAACCCCCCAGGGACCTGCTCCCTCCTTCCCGCACCAGGGCCGTCCCCCGAGCCGCCCCCGCTGTGCTGCCCCTCCGTCCCCTCCATCTGGCCTGCCCGGCGCGCTGACCCGCAGCCTCAGCGGCACGTCCGCGCTCTGCACGCGAGCGGCAGAGGGCAGGCTTGTTGGAAGCTGCGGAGCTGCACTGTTATGTTGGCATTTTCTTTTTCACTCCAATTTCCTTCACAGTCTGCCACCATCTCTCAATATACGGTGCTTGGCATGCTAAAGTTTTTCTGGTAGAATTGCGTGGAAGGATCATCTTTCCCTTTAAAATATCTGACTTCCACAGGTTCCCCAAATTCTCATCATATGTGATTTAATTTTGTCCTAGAATTAGTTTTTTTTTCTTCCCAAAGAAACAGTTTCTAACGTCCTGAGAGAGACGCAGACGAGAAGGGTGTCTGGGGCGAGGAGCTCTCCGCGGGGACGGAGGGGCAGCTGGGAGTGAGTGCGGGCGGCCCCGGCGAAGCCAGCCACAGCACAGCGGTCAGAGAAGCGGCAGGAGCTGTGTCTTCTCAGGGGAAGCGGTTACTTCCGAGAGGCGGCCAGAAAACACTAGTGCATGCACAGCAGAGAGGGAAGCCGGGAGAGCCTACCTTTTGCACTTGGTAGATCTGCAGACAAGGGCGAAAGAAAGAGAGAAGGAAATGTGAAATCCAAGTTAGCAAGTGGGAGCACCAGAGAGAAAGGTTTTCCCAGCGCCCGGCGGTGTGAATGAAAGCCGCAGAGGGGGGAACCCTGAAGACCTGGTCGGGCGTGAGCTGGAACACGCCCGGGGTCTCAGCAGAAGCCTCGGTCGCTCCGGAGCCCACTCCACGTTCACCGCAGGCTCCCCGGGGGTGGGGGGGTCACGGCGTCCTCCCACCAGTATCTGCAGGAACCCTGCCGTCACCGCGCAGCAGGGGGCTGCCCGGGGACCGGAACAAGCACTTCACCACCAGCTCGGAGCTGCTTTTCGCAGCGATGAACGTGTAACGAGAAAGCGCGGAACCTTAATGGGAAAGCCAGCTGGTCACCCCCACGAGCGGTGGAGAAAGGTGGGTCCCGGTTCCGACTCCGGTGGGCACACACGGTTAACGCCAGGAAGACTCCGGCTGCACGGGGTGCTCGCTGGACAGCACGGAAGCACACTTCACAACAGCCTATTGTCACGCACGGGCACGGACGGTGGTGCGCTTCAGCGTTCCCTCCTGGGTTGTAGGCATCCCCAGGCTAAACTGAGAAGTGCTTCCTCCCTCCCTCCCTCTCTCAGTTGAGAAAACATTCCCCGGGTCAGGCCATGGTTCCCGGCTCGGCCAAGCTGTAAGATGAGAACCTCGGCATTCCTGGTCTCACGGTGAGCTCACGCGACGTGACGGCCGTGGGAGGCCCAGTGCCCCCAGCAGACTGTTGATCGGGTCAGGGGCCCCGGAAGAGACGGGCCCTGGTCGCCACACCACCTGCCACACCGTCGCACGGCCAGTCTGCTCCTGTCCGCGCAGGTTCGCAGACGGGAGGCCCACCGGGGTTTCCCGGGGCCTGCCCACACGCCTGCGTCCCTGATGGACCCGCCCAGCCCTTCCAGGCAGCCCAGGGCACAGTGGCTGCGGTCCGTTCTCACTGTCTGCGCCGGTGACAGGCCCACTGGGGGGTGCAGTGGGCTGCAACAGGGGGCTGGGGCTGGCCGGGGAGGTCGGGATCAACCTGCAGCCGTGCATGGCCCCCGTCCTCGGGGCCTGCTGGGGCGGGTGACAGGTCGACAATCCTCGGCGCCCGTGTCCCTTGTCACCTGTCCTCTCTGCGCACTCTCCACACCCCCTCGCAGCAGACCCCCTCTGCTTTGTGTCGATTACTCTGCCCCTCCCGTTCAGCCCCAAGGAGAAGACTTGTTTTTCAAGGTTCGTTTCCACTTGTAAGCGGACTTGGCTCGTGTGGCTCGCCCCGCCCTGCCCCCCCCCCCCCGGCCGCCCGGCCCCGCCTTGAGCCGCCCAGTGAGCGCACTGGCAGGGGGTACGGGGAAGACCACAACTTCCCAGCCTTTTCAGGTCTAACCTGACACCGTGGCCGTTCCCTTAGCTGCGGGTAAACCGTCCACCTCAGGGAGGTCCGAAGTTCTGCCCTGTACATGAAACCCGGCAGCCCTCCCCCCCCGCCCCCCACAGGGTGACCGTCCCCGGGCCCAGGGCTGCCACGTGGCCAGGCCTCCAGGGTGTCCCTGCCCCTCCCCGGTCTCTCTGACGAGTAGTGAAAGACCTCTCTGTTTCACTTAAAACCTTTCCCATCCTGCTTTTGAAGGAGCAGACGCGCACTTTCGACGGTGGCGCTCTCCTACTGCGACGGCCCCAGACGCAGGACAGCGAGGTCGTTGTCCCTGTCAGCCGGCGTGGCTGCCGGGCGCAGGCCACGGCCACGGACCGACCCCGGGAGGAGTGGGGGCGTTGCCGCCACCCTGCACCCCGCCTGGCCCGGCTCTGGCCTCCCGGGGCCCGGTGTTCCCGCAGGCTGTTTCTTTGCCTCCTCCCGAGCTCACACCGGGTGGCCGCTGCACACCCGGACCACACGCGTGGGGATGGTGGTCCCCAGGCCTGCACCCCGACCCCAGTAGGAGTCCGTGCCCCACAGGGAAGGAGCCTTCGAGGGACAGGTGGAAAGGGGACGTCACCTGGGGTGTTTGCTGACAGTGATGCCATGCGCCCCTCCGGGTCCCCGCACCACTTGGTGCCGCGGGTGGAAACCCCGGCCTGTGTCTCAGAGCCTCTCCGTGGGCTGGCTCGGTGCCCGGAGGGTCCCAAAGTACTGACCTGCCTCCATGGGAGCCGGCCCATGGATGTGAATCGGGACGAAACCTCTGACCCCTGTGAACGGACCCCTGGAGGGTCCCCGTCGTGGAAGTGAAAGGCACCGTGAGGTGAAGAATTTCAACATTCCTAGGCCACCGACTAGCCCAGTGACGCTTGTGTGTGCGACTGAGGAAGGCAGTGCTGGCCTTTCTAGCCGGATCTCCCAGGTTTTAATCAGGTTTTCTCTGCAGAGCCCCAGAGCCCGGGCAGGCACCAAGCCCCGAGGGCGGCCGCGCGGCTCAGCACCCGGGCCCTGGCCGGGGTGGAGTCTGGTGCCGCCAGCCGGCAGCCGGGAGGGTCACACCTGGGGGCCCCAGCCCACCCCCCACGCCCCCTCGCACTACCGAAATTACAGGGCCGTGACTTAACAGGCGGGGTCACTGGCAGGCCGCAGAACTGAAATGAAGCAGGACGACTTCCTCTGACTCAGACGGAGAAACGGGTTGTGTTCCTCTGTCTAAAGGAGGCCGTTCAAACAGGTGGTTGCTTGCCTCAAGTCCTCTCTCTCCCCTCGACTCTCGGAATCAAGGACTCTGCACACCGAGCTCCGCGGGAGCCTGTCCGCGTGACCAAGTGCACACTTTGGCCCAGGCCGTCCGTGGTTAAGGGCCGGGTGTGTTTCCCCCAAAGGTACAATAGGAAGACAGCCGTGCACGCACACACACACTGTAGTTCGCGCTCACCGGGGCTCTGCAGGAATGCTCCGCTTGTGTGAATGAATGCGGCTGGTGAAAGCCACTTTCTCCTAAATGTGAGCCGGAGGCTAAAGCGATGGCTAAGGCCACCGAGGACACTAAAGGCAAGGCTCCCCTCCCAGACTCACTGCCCGCTTTCCTGAGTCTGTGGCTCGGCCGAGGACCGAGCTTGGGGACAGTCCCAGGCCACCGGACATGCTTACGGGGGGGGGGGAGGGGGAGGGCCAGTGCTGAAATTCAACCGGGCGTGGCAAAGCTGGCATGGCGACAGAAACAAGGGGGAATTCTTCCCACAGCTCTTTCCAGAACTTAACATAAAATTCTTCCCACAGCTCTTTCAAGACCTGGGAACAGTTGGGGGGGGGAGCCCATGAAAACCCTGAGCCTCAGGCAGGGTGGGGGGGCCCAGTGCTGGAGACGGAAGCTGCTGCTTCCTCGAACGGTGATGTGCCCTGGGAGACGGGCCGCTGCCCACTGGCCCCCGACCCTGCTGCCCACTGAGTCCGCGTCCTGGTGCCCTCCCCACGGAGGTTCTGAGCTCCAGAGCAGGGGGGAGGGGCTCCCAGTGGGCTCGTGGGCATCTACCCAATGAACAGAAACATTTGAAAAGCCACCAGCACCAGGCAGCTTGAACAAGCACTCTGTCACTTAAAGTGCCGATTACTGAGAACAAGTTCAGGCCAAAGGAACTATTGGCCCCCAACGACTCTGATTTCCAGCGGAGGCCGAGGGTGCAGAAGCGGCCTGGTGCCCGGGCGGCGCCCACAGCCCAGGTGACCCAGGTAGGGGACAGAGGTCTCCCAAACAAGACCTGCTCCTGTCCCCACGTCCGGGCTCCAACACCCGTCTTCGTGCCTGAAAACGCTTCTCGGGGTGACCCTCGACGGTCACTCCCGGTCCTGCCCCGAGTGTGCGGCCGGGTGTCGGCCAGGTTCCCCTCCTCGCCCTGGACCGAGACCCCGGGCAGGCGAGGAGCTGCCGGCCGGTCGCCGGGCCGCGGGAGGAGGGCCAACGTCCAAACCGTTCACGTGAAAATTCGGCAGCATCTGCCTCCAATTTCAGAGTGGGAAATGCGGTGCTGGGGGCAGGGCGCCTCGAGGAAATGCCAAACCCGTGCTTCTTGGGGTAGGTTGAGAGGAAAAAGAGCCAACAGGGAGAGCACTGGACGCACTCCAGGGGCCGATTCCACCAGCCCCAGGATGTGCTCACGACCCATTCGCGTTTCCAGCCAGGCGGGGGACTCGCGGACCTGCCCTCAAACGCCCGTGGGGCCTGTGCTCCCGGGGACACGGGACGAGCAACACCTCCCATGTGGCCACTTCCCGACCATGGCTGGAGGGCGGTGTGGCTCTCCCTCAGCGGCAGGACCCCCTGGGTCCCCAGCCCCCAGCGCCATGGGGCCGCCTAGCGGCCCCTGCCCTCCTGTCATTGGGGCCGTGGTGGGACTCCTCTGGCTATCGCTCTGGGCTTGAGTCACTGCTAATGACCGCCAACCTATTCTTCTTCAGAGCTCGAGGAAGTGTTTCCCGGCCCCACGGGCACGCCTCTGCAGTGCGGGGGTGGGGGGGGTGGTGACACACCCTTCAGGCCGAGGGTGACCCCAAGCGGCTGGCCCCAGGGCCCCACCCCGGAGGGAAGTGGCGGAATCTGCAGCAGTTTTAGGAGCTGTCGGGCGCTCTCCGACACACTCAACTCAAAACCTCCGAACCAGCAGGGCCCTGGGCGGGGCCTGGGCGGGTGTCTCCAAGGGTGTGGCTCGCAGGAGAACAGGGTCCCCTGGGCGGGGACTCCTTTGTTCCCCAGGGACGCCAAGGTCACGGGGAAGCTCACAGCTGTAACTGCCAGTTAAAAGGCTCTCGCTGTCTACAGGACTCTGGCTCCAGTTCAAGGTCATGCAAATAAGCAGCGAACACCTTCAACAGGTGTGTAAACACCTCGCTGCGCACACTCTCCCCTGGCTAGCTCACCCACGGTGTGAGCTCTGGGCTTCAGGCCCCACGAGACCTGTTACAAAGCGCAGAACCTCAGGAGACGTGTTTTTAAACAGAACCATTCAGTTAGTTTAAAAACATAATCGTCTGTTCTCCTTCCACGCTTTTAATCCAGGGCGTCTGGATTCTCACTCGGCAGGGAGGCCCTGAGGGTCAGAGCCGGAGGAGGGCCGGGCCGGGGAGACCCACGCGGTCTGCCTGGGGCAGGCACGCCTGGCATCCGAGCTATGCACCCTCCCGGCCTGACCTGGAACAGCAGTCCCAGGCCAGTGCATTCTGATCCTGAGGCACGGACGTCACACGGACGGACGGACGGTGCCCCCGTCCCCACCCCCGCACGCGCGCCCTGAGACGGAAATGGCCGGAGGGGGCCGGGGGAGAAGCCCGCATTACCTCCTTCTGCTGCCGCTCCAGCTCCTTCATCCTGATCTCGCGGGCCTCGGCGCGGGCCGCGCGCTTCGCCGCCAGCCTGGCCTCCGCCTGAAACACACACGGAGACAGCGTTAGAGGACGGGCCAGCGGCCCCTCTCGGGCATGTGGTTGCTAACAAGGACGCTGTTTAAGGAAAACCCTGTTCGGAGGCTCACACACACACACACACACACACACACACACACACGGGGGCGCGGCGCAGGCTCGGAGGGGTCAAGGGGCCAACGGTAGCGGCAGCTACAAGTCCTGACGGTTGCTGCCGTCCACGGAGCCACGGAAGGCCGTGGGCACTGTTCCACGGGCTTCAGGTACCGTATGCCACAGCCATGCTAGTAAGTGGATACAGTTACCACACAGCTCTATTAGGTGGCTACTGTTACCAAATGGTGCTATTAAGTAGATACTGTTACCATCCCCGGGTTATACACATGGAACTAAGGCACAGAGAGGGTAAGTAACTTGCCCAAGGTCACACAGCCCGTGAGTGGCCAGGCTGGGCAGTCTGCCTTCCTCTGGCGCTACCACAGACTAGTGCACGAAGCAAGGCATTCAGGCAGGGCAGGGCCACAGGCCCCGCCCCTCCCGTTACAGAGCAGGAAGGGAGGTGGACGGGGGTAGGCTGCCAGATACGTCCGAGGGCACAGGCCTGAGACTCTGACCCCGGTTTCCAGAGCCCCTGTCCAGTCCCCCCTGCTGCCCCCTGCTGCCCTCGGCTTCCTCCCCACACCCGCAGCGCCGGGAAGCCTTTCTCTTCTCCAAACCAAGACCAGAGCTGTTAGAAGCCTTACAGCAAACATAAATATAAATATACATCTGCCTCTGTTTACTATCTGCCAGCTTGGCTGTTTCCCACATTCCGCTTGAGAGCATTTAAAATGCCTACCCTGTCCTTGAACCTGGCTCCTGGACGCTGCATCTCGCTGCGCCCACCACCCCCTCAGTCGCTATTTCAGGGAGGGGAGCGTGCAAGTGCGTCGGCGTTCAGGTTTTCTGGGGTCAAATGCCACCTTCTTTCCACTTAATTTTCTCAGGGATACACCCGTAATTCTTCCACCAGTTCTGCAGACATTGTTCAGATGTCTCCGGGTTCCCTAGATGATCCTGAAACGGGGCCATGGGAGACAGCTGGCAGGCTTCGGCGTGGCCAGCGGGCCAGCGCGCAGTGAGGTGCTTGGAGGTGTCCCCCCACCAGCAGCCGGGCCTCCTGCACTGCAGGCCGAGGTCAGGACAGCAGACCCTGGTGTCGGGGACATCCGTCACCCCTGCCCCACACTTGCACTGAATGACATATTCGTCTGCTTTCTACATTCTCGTCGAAGTGGAAACTGACCCCAGCTGACCTGTCCGCGGTTGGCCGGCTGTGTGCTCAGAAGGAATTCACTTTATGGTTTGTTCCTGTGGTTCCTTCAACAACTAAGCCCAGGCCCTTCAATGCAAGGCGTCAAAGTCATGCCTACGTGAGAACTTGGACTCTCCGTGGCCATTTCCAAAGTTCTGGACACTGTGTGAGGGGTCAAGCTGGAGGGGAGGGCAGGGGAAGGTTCCTCAGACCCACAGCGGCCACAGGGACCTCCTCTAGCCCCACGGGTGGGCCAGCGAGAGGACGATGGTCACACCGAGGGCAGCGGCCTCCCGGCAGGTGCTGGCCCTGTGTCCCTGCCGGCACAGGCCTGTGGCCGCAGCCCGTGGGCTGGGGCGGGGCCGACGGGGCGGGGGCTGGGGCGAGGGAAGGGGGCACGGGGGAAGAGGAAGGGGAGCGGGAATGTGAGAGAGAGGCAGGCGCTGCCGGAGGGGGATGTAGGGGACGGCAGGGGGCTCCAGGGTGGCCCCTCGCTCCCCACGATCTGCTCCCCTCGAGTGTGGGCCCCACAGCATGACGGGTGCCCCTCCCGTGACTGGGCTGCGGTCTGTGGCAGATGGAGACGGCCCCTCATTGGCAGACCCTGAGCGAATCACGGGACAGCTTACTCCGGGCGGGCGTGAGCTCGGCAGGGGCCCAGACTGTATCTGATACAATCAAGTGGTCGAATGAACAGAAGATACAAAATAGCAACGGCCCCGGACGGCAACACGCAAACACGAGCTCATCTCCGCCAACACGCCATGGGAGGCCCTGCCCTACCCTCCGCGCCAGGGGCCCTCCGGCCAGCGCCTCTGTGGGCTGGGGCAGGCCCACCGCCGCCGACACGGGTGTGAAACTGGAACCTGCATGCTTGGGGTCACAGCTGTGTCAGCGGGGCTAAGGGTTCCCAAATGCTTACTTTCACTTTCTGGACTGAGTTTGCGGGGGACCACCCCTCACCGGCTGCCACCGGCCCGGCCACCAGCCCGGCCACACAAACGCGCACAATTGCCCCAGGCAGCTGGGAAGGACTTCCACAGTGCAGCCTGGGTCCCCAGTCTTGGGGTGCAGGCAAAGCAGTTGGTGACCGCGTACAAGTGGCAAGTGACATCGGGGTGGGGGGTAGAGGGGAACTTAACCCAGTTCTGGTGTCAGGAGGGCTTCCAGGGGGAGAGGAGCCCAAGGCCAAAGCCCCAGCAGCTGCGAGGACAGCCAGGCCAGGGGGCAGGGGCGAGGCGCACGGCCCGACAGGAAGTCCCGAGGGCTGAGGTCCAGGCGCAGCACTCAGCTCCGGTATCTGGACCCTTATCTTAAAGGCACGCGGAACCGCGGGAGGGTTTTCAGCAGGGACACAGCGGGGCCTGCCCTCTGCCTTCTGACCTCTGGCCCGCATGCCAGCGGCGCTGGGACAGGTGGGGAGGCGGCGGGAAGTCCAGCCAGGGCCAGGCGGCTGCATCCCAGTGGGAGAGCCGGGAACCTGAGTGGGCGGGGCCGGCGGGGCCGCCGCCGAGGATGACGCACGGCTGAGGCTAGGCCGCTGCAGGGGGTCAGGCACCCGGGTCCCAGGAGCCGACCTCGGAGCAGAAGCCCCGCCCCCCGGCCGCCACCTAGACCCTGGAGCACCGCCTCCGCGTTCCCCTCCCCGGGCCTCCCGGGAGATGAGGACAGACAGAGGGACGTAGACGGATTCAGGGAGTTCGGGGGACCAAGTATTGTACACACGGCTCAGGGCTTCGGAAAAAACTTGAGAAACAAGACCACGGACACGCCCCGGCCGGCCTCTGCGAATCGGCTGGAGTGCCCTGGCCCCCGCCCCCCCCACCCCCGCCGCCAGCGCGCAGGCAGCCCTGGGGCTAACGGCGCCCCCAGCCCGCTCTCGGGTCTCGGCCTCCGGTCCCAGGGCACAGGTCCCAGGGCACAGCTCCGCCGGGCGCCCAGATTGGCTGAGACAGGACCTGAGTGGGGAGGGGATGGGGGCGCCGGGCTGTGGGCCGAGGGCTGTTGGAGCTGCGGGTGGGACGCGGGGCTCGCTGCGCTGAAGGTGTCACAGGGTCCTTCCCGGCAGAGGCGCATCCCTCACCCGGGGCCTGTCGGAGGCGCAGAAGCTGCAGCCTCCAGCAGACACCCCCAGTCAGCGCCTGGGGGAGGGGCAGCCCTCGGGGCTTCAGCAGGCCCACGCCCCTGGGGGGAGGGGGGCTGGCACCTCTCGAGTGTGGGGGCCTCTGCTTTCTGTCATCCCATCTGCGTCTGGGTTGTTTGACAGTTTTCAAATAAACTGCAAACTTTTCTGAAGGAAGGAAGGGGGGAGGGTGACAGAGGGGGAAGGGTGACAGAGGGCGGAGGGAGACAGGGGAGGGGAGGGAGGAAATGAGGGTGACCATGCTCAAGGCGGCCAGGGCTCTGCAGCTCAGACGGCTGCAGTGTGGTCCCCTCCCCTGCCAACACCCCCTTCTGATGCCGCCTGCAGGGTCAGCTGGAGTCCAGGGAGGTGCTGACCGCTGAGGGCCCCTCGGACACGGATGAGATCCAGGCTCCTCGGTTTTCTCAGGACCGCCCCCCACGTCGGAGGGGAACGCCCCTTACAGGGGAGGCGCCCCACCCTCCCGGGACAGGGCCTGGCCCTCCCCTCAGGGCCCTCCGGTCCTGGCCCGAATCCGGCACACAGGGCCTTAGGGTCCTGGGCAGCACGGTGGGGAGGCGGGGACCACACTGGGCACGAAGTTGTCTCATTATAATTCTAAACAGCTGCCCCCGCCTCCACAGCTGCACTGCTGCCTCGTGTTTGATGGCAGACTGAGAGGGCAGCGCTCCCACACGCGAGGGGGGACGGGACGGAGGCCGAACACACACGGAAGCCCCGGTCCCAGCCCCAGGGTCTCCTGACCCCACAGTGGCCGGCCGAGTCCAGGCTACAGGCACAGAGGCCGGCCACGGGGCGCACGGGCCAGCCAGGGAGACAGACCACTGCTGGGGCCCTGCTCCCCCCTCGACTGGGCCTCTTGGGGCAGCACAGCCCCGGGCCAGTCTGGACACAGACCACGGGGCTGTGCGGAGAAGCCTCGGCCACAGCAGCGGTCACTGCGGTGACGGGTCCCTGGGCAGTGCAGAGGGCCGGTGACCGGCAGTTCTGGACCCACCACAGAGGGGACGTGGCTCTCTCAGGGGCAGGACGCAAGGGCTTCGGGCTAAGGGGTCAGATGCGGGCCGGTCCCACCAGGCACCCGACCGGCCCGCCCTGCGCGCCAGGAATTCCGAAGATAACAGCTTCCGCCAAAGATAAGGGCCGCGGCTTTCCTCGGGGTCCGGAACTGGGACAGCCGCTCCGGCTGAGGACTCAGGCCGAGCAGAACTAGAAAGAGACCGGGGCGCCGGGAGAAACCCAGCCCGCCGGCCGGGCTGCGCATGGCTGTCCCCAGACCCGCCTTCCCTCCTGCGGTGGGCGGCTGCGCAGCAGGAGATGCCCCCCAGGGTGGGGTGGCCACACGCCGTCCCCAGCACCCTGCACCCCAATTCCACTGAGGTCTGGGTCCTCCTTGCAGTTCCTACGCATTCACCCGGGGGGCCCACGTGGTGCGCCGCCTCAGAGAACAGAACCGTGAGGGGAGCCGGGGGCCCGGGTCCCAGCTGCTTGCAGAGGACAGGGGTGTGGCGGGCAGCAGACGCACCTGCGTCTCTGAGCACCCCGCACGCTCCAGGGGTTCCCCGC